CCAGTGCTGCCCACACCCCGACAGCGTTATAGGTGGTCCCAGCTCCCCCCACACACACACACACAGCCAAGGAAGACACCCAAGAGGAATCCCCTCTGCCTGAAGCCAGATGAGCTGCCCCGTCTGACAGCACTGGGTAGTGAAGCCTTGAGAGAAATTTCCCCTAACTCATCCTCAGCAAATCCTTTGTCCAGGAGAAGAGGAAGGAGGGGAAGGAAGAATGGAGAGGACGGGAGCCCATTCCGCCGTAAGCCGCGGGGTGAGTACTGACTGCACCCTCGCTCCTTCCTGAGGTGCCCACCTGCCCATCAGGTGCATGGTTCCCAGCTCTCGCCTGGCCTGTCCGTGTGTCCTCTCCATCGAACCACACACTCTTGATTGCCCCAGCCTAAAGGACAGGGCAGTTGCATCAGCTTGCATTTGGAGAGGAGCCCACCGTTCCTGATGACGCTCTGACCCGTTAAACCTTGCTACCTTGCTTGCCACGACCCTCTCACATCTGAATTCTTTCTTGTGTGAAGACAAGAACCTTTACTGCATTCATCTCCGCTAACAGTCGTTCAAAACGCCTGGCGTGGCAAGTGCAAAGGGAGTCGTTTTTAAGGAACAGAAGTGTCCGTGGCTGTGAAGTTTTATTGTTACCAGGCTAGGTAACGAATTTGGTGCTGAGCAGAGAGGATTCTCCTGGGGAGATTCCCCTGGGTGGAGGGAGGTGGGACCACCTGTGAAGTTGTTGGGGTACCACAGGACTGTGTACTGTAAAATCCGGGGCGGATTCCAAGGTGGGCTTCCAGGGCTCTCCCCTCTTCGGAAGCCTTGTTTGCTTTAGGCCCCGCCCACACTCGCAGGCTAATTTCTAACTTCCTGCCTAACAGAAGGAGGGGTCCACAGAACCCTGGCCTCATTTCTCTCTCTCTCTCTTTTTTTTTTTTTTTTTTTTTTTTTTTTTTTTTTGACAGGCAGAGTGGACAGTGAGAGAGAGAGACAGAGAGAAAGGTCTTCCTTTTGCCTCCAATGGTGGCAGCTGGGCGCACCGCGCTGATCCGATGGCAGGAGTCAGGTACTTCTCCTGGTCTCCCATGGGGTGCAGGGCCCATGTACTTGGGCCATCCTCCACTGCACTCCCGGGCCACAGCAGAGAGCTGGCCTGGAAGAGGGGCAACCGGGACAGAACCCGGCGCCCCGACCGGGACTAGAACCCGGTGTGTCAGCGCCACTAGGTGGAGGATTAGCCTAGTGAGCCGCGGCGCTGGCCCCCATTTCTCTTTTCTACCTTTGCTCACTGCCCCACGGGTGCTCACTCCCATCAACAACTCCCCTCAGACAGCCAACACGCAAATGCTCAAAACTGATCCTAAATCCCTCCAGCTAGGAGGAAAGATGCCGAAGCCAACCCCACAATGTCTCAGGCCTGCTTCCCCGTGAATGTATTACCGGTCACAGAGGGGAGGGCACTTGCCAAAGCGAATCTCGTGGGTTCTTTTCCTCAGCTCAGTATAGAAATAAAAAGCCGGGAAACAATTTGCAAAGAGGCAGAAATTTTATTTGATTGGCAAGCGACAGAGAAAGCGTCCGTCAAGAGGAGCGCAGGCGGAGTGCCCGAGCAGGACACTGGCTGAGGAAGTGCCCAGGGTTTCTAAGGCATGGCTGCCTGTTCACTGGGTCATTCTACTGGGGCTGCCCACTGGGCGGGGTTTTCACATACATATGTTGATTGGCGTGGGGCTCATGGAGATGGCAGGGTTCTCCTGAGACGGCCCGACTCTCCCCAGGGGCTCAGCCCCCTCCCCTGCCAGCTCTGGGTGAAAGCTGGCACCCACCCCGAGGGTGTGATTTAAAGCCGCAAGCACAAGAAGCTCTTAGTGGGGAGACGCTGGCTGGGCTGGAGACAGCTGTCCCGCCACAGCTGACCGCCTGCTTGCGAGGGACATTCTGCCTACGTCTGAGGGGCCCTCAGACTCCCAGCCCCACTGGCAGCCTCAGAATTCACCCCAACTGGATTCAGGTGAGTGCGTCTGTCTGCGCTGCAAAGCCAGGGGACCTCTGCCAACTTCTCTCCGCCTTGTCGTTCCCACCCCCAAGCTCCATCCCCACTAAAAGAAAAAACGGACCCAGGCCCAACAGACAGGCAGAGAAAGGGACCGCATGTGGCTGCCTGGGCCTAGCGTACACCATAGCTGCAGTTTCCGCAGCTCGTTGGAACTGTCCTGTCCCTGGGGACTTCAGAAAAACCCAGAATGCTCCGTGGGGTGGGCGTTTAGCATTTAAAATAGTCCTGACCTGGCGCTGTGGCGTAGTGGGTAAAACTGCCACCAGCGGTGGCGGCATCCCTTATGGACGCCAGTTCAATCCCTGGCTGCTCCACTTCCGATCCAGCTCTCTGCTGTGGCCTGGGAAGGCAGTGGAGGATGGCCCAAGTGCTTGGGCCCCTGCACCCGCGTGGGAGACCAGGAAGAAGCTCCTGGCTCCTGGCTTTGGAGCGGCGCACAGCCTGGGACGGATGCCATAGCTCCTGACTCCAGCTGCCCGCTCTCGGGTCTCTGCCACCCACGTGGGAGACCTGGTGCGAGATCCTGGCTTCAGCCCTGGCCCAGCCCCAGCCGTCGTGGGCACCTGAGGAGTGTCTGCGTCACCCGCCCCAGCCGGCCGTGCACAGCCCAGGTCTTGGGGGCTCGGCCACGCCCCGGGTGGCCACGCGGACAGCCGCCTGCAGGTTTCAGCGGCCGGGCTCAGCACACAGCACGCCGCCCCTGCGAGGGGACCAGCAAACCTGGCCTGGCTAGGCCTGGCGATGCTCAATGCTGTAAGAGATCCTGCTCGGAAGCCCTGGCTCCTCGCCGGCCCGGTCCACACGCGGGGAACAGCGTGGCGCCATCCGCAGCTCCCGCACACCCGACGACAAGCTGGATACAGACGCCAGACAGCGCCCTCCCCGCCTGAAACGGCCTCTGAAAATCACTCGTCCGTAGCGAAGAAGCTGCAGACGGGCTCAGAGCAATAAACCCAGGCCAGGTGGGAAAAAAAGTGCAGAGCATTCCGTTCGGTAGAGGCACCGCTGGGATTCGAACCCAGGATCTCCTGTTTACTAGACAGGCGCTTTAACCAACTAAGCCACGGCGCCAGTTGCATGAGCACCGCGAGAATCTATTCCTCATTACTATTTATCCCAGATGCCCTGCGCATGTGCAGGGAGCGCGTCTGCCACTTGCGCGTGCGCGGTGCAAGTTCCCGCGCCCCCGGGAGACCCGAGCGAAAGGTGCTCCCGGAAACCGGAAACTCGGCTTGGTGGGCGGGGCCTGGGCGGGCCGGGTTTCCGCGGCACTGTGGTACCCGCTTGGCGAAGAGTCGGGGGTGTGTCGGCGGTTGCTCGCGCCGAGTCGGGCTTTCTCTCTTGCCTGAAGTGGGGCGGACGCGGCCGAGTCCCCACGCGCGTTCCGGCCCGTCGCTCCGCCAGCGCGGCCGGGCTGCAGACTCCTTTGCCGTCTCGTCGGGCTGTGCCCCAGGGGAGCCAGGCGCCTTCCGAGCCGCCGGCCCGTGACGCCAAGTTGGGCCGCTTCTCCCCGAGCCGGGGGAAGGCCGAGGGGGCCGGGGACCCGGAGCAGACCCCAAGGGACCAAGGGCCTCGGTGGCCTTGGAGCCCCTGCACCGTCGGGGGGCTGCCTGAGCGGGACAAGGCGTTCCCCTCCCAGGCTCCTCCCCGCGGCTGCACCAGCTGCTGGGTCCTGACCAAGCCCAGCTCCGCTAGCTGGCTCGCGGGCGACCCTGCACGTGGGCGTGTGTGCAGCAGGAGCCTCCGGGGCCCGTGGGTGGGGATGCAGCTCGTAGTGGGTCGTCTTGAGGGGGCCCTAGTGTTCGTCCACCCGCCGTGTGAGCACGTGGACAAAGGCTGAGCGCCGCCCCCACACACACATCGTGTCCCAGCGTGGTTCCTGTCCAAGTGATGGGTTCGGGTTCTCGGGTTGTGGTGGCTCCATGCACCGCGATCAGAGACTGACACTGGCAGTCAGTCCTGCAGCCAGGGGTTTTTAAATGGAGCGAGGAGCGTGTTAAGATACTTGATAAAAATCACGTGAGGCATAGCAAACTGAAAAGGGAGCCCCTCACCCTTTCTAAATTGTGTGTTGCGTGATGGGCTGTGGACGCAGAGGGTATCTGCGTGGGCCTCCTGGAAGCCAGAACCAGGCTTTCAGACCTCCCTCTGCTCTGCAGGTGGCCAGCTGGGGGCTGCAGCCCCGGTTCTGTTGCCGTAACAATACTTGAGGTCGAGGACTTTGGAAGAAGAGAGGTTTACTGAGCTCAGGGTTCTAGCAAGTCCAAGATCAGGCCAGACCTGAGGAGGACGTCAGGGTGGCCTCACTTGGTAACTTGGTACCCATCGTCGGTAACTCATCCAGTCCTGGGGGACCCAACCCGCTTTCTCCACAAGGGCGGCGTCCGTTCCAAGGGCCTTAGTTCCCCACCACCTTCCACTGCTGTTTGAGTGAGGACCCAGCCTCCAGCACATGAGCCAGGGGGAGACAAACCACACCCAAACTCCAGCAGCCAGGGAAGCAGCCACAGTGCCTCGCCGTCCTCATCTGCCAGGGCCCTGACACATCTTCAAGTTCATGTGCCAGGCCCTTCCTGGGGAGGTGCTGTTGCTGCTAGGCTGAATTCCCAAAAAGAGATGGGTTAAGGTTAGGGTTAGGGCTAGGGTGAGGGTCAGGGTCAGGGTCATGGCCAGGGTTAGGGGTTAGGGTTAGGGTTAGGGCTAGGGCTAGGGCTAGGGCTAGGGTTAGGGTTAGGGGCTAGGGTTAGGGTTGGGTTAGGGTTAGGGGGTTAGGGTTAGGGGCTAGGGTTAGGGTTGGGTTAGGGTTAGAGGGTTAGGGTTAGGGGGTTAGGGCTAGGGCTAGGGTTAGGACTAGGGCTAGGGTTAGGGTTACGGTTAGGGTCAGGGTCAGGGTCAGGGTCAGGGCCTGAAACGGGAGTGGCAAAAATGCTTCTCCACATGCTGGCTTGTTTTCCACAGGAATCTCGATTTATTCTGCATGAAGACTCGGCGTTGCTCCCCTAAGGGTACTGTGGTGTGAGCCCAGCCCAGTGTCACCGAGGCCCGCTGAGCCTGGGAGGGGCCAGCAGAAAGGTCCCTGCAGAGCCGGCAACCTCGTGCCAGGTGGCCTGTGCTCAGGTCACTTACAGGGCCCGGGGGCCATCAGCTGTTGCTGTCCCCTTCCGACTGTGACAAAGAATCTTCCAGCAAGTCCTGGGCTTCCATCCGGCAGAACACACACTGAGTGAATATTTCGGAAGAGGAGTCACTCTCGAAGATGGAGAAGGGCTTGTCACATCCTTCACACTGGCATGAGAAGTTTTTAGGAAAGAAAGGAGGTGCTGGTCAGCGGGGATCAATGCAGAGAGGATGGGCAGCCGCTGCCCTGGCTGGAGCCTCTCACCCCACAAGGGAGGACACTGCAGGCTGCAGAGAGAGGCGCAGGCTTCTCAGGGGTTGTGCAGGTTCCCTGCCATGGGGGTCCTGAGGGCACGGGTGAGCAGCCACTTGGTGGTGGGGAGGACGGGGGTAGGTGTGCAGCCCTGTCCCTTGCGGTGTGCAGAGTCGATTGTGGGATGGAGGAAGTGTCCTGGGTCCCCGACATCCTAGGGATTTGTCACTCACAGAACCGTGGGAAGCAAGTAGGCAAGGTTTCTACGCGAGGCAGGGGCTCTAACCAGGTTGATCCAGGGACCGACCCTCCTCCTGCTGCCTCGAACCTGTCTCTGCCCCCGAATGCACAGAGAACAGTGGACGAGGATGGCAGAGCTCGCCAACTCTGCTTCCCACTTGGCAAGCAAGCAATAGTGTGGGGCAGGGATCCTGGGGCCATGGGTGGAGGCCTGGCCAGGGCTCCCAGCCCAGCGTGGTCCCGTTGACGAACCTGCGGGGTACTCCAAGCCACTGCAGGAGAAGTGGGACACATTATGCCTAGGGCAAGCTCTCTAGGAAACCTGCCCTCTGGTTTCTCATGACCCGGCTCTGCCACAGCTTCAGATAGGTCTCTTTCTTTTCTCTCTTCTCCGCCCCCGCCATTCCACAGCCTCTTTCCCATGGTCCAACCCCGGAACAGGGGTCACAGAGGAGGAAGCTCCTTGGCTGTCAGCGTCACTGCTCTGTAGCAATGATGGCCTTGAGGACCAGGTGGCCACAAAGACAAGGTCCACGTGGGTCCCAGCCCTCCCCTCCCTGCCTTGCAGCACTGCTCCCAAATTAGGCATTGCCAGAAGCAGCGGCTCCCAGCTGGGTTCCGAGGGAGGGAGGGAGGATTCCAGGGGCCCCAGGACACTATACCCCTCAGCCTCTCGAGGCAGCAGACATGTGCGTCCACTCACTGCCCAGGGATGGCCTCTGGGCCGGGCCTGGGGAAGCAGGTGTGCCCACTGTCCCACTGGGACTAGAGAATCCGAATTGCCGGAACCTCTTGTGTGAGAAACAGGACACAGGCCGTCCAGCTGTGCGCTGGTCAGCACTCCCGGAGCCTCGTCTCCCCTCGTTCACTCCACTCAGACACGGCAGGCTCGCTCCTGCCTCGCCCCAGGCCCCTGCCAGCAAGTGCTCTTCCTGAACGTCCACATAGCCGACCAGTCTGCACAGCTGGCACCTTCTCTGACCTCCCCGGAAGCTGCTGCGACCCCCAGCACTCCCACTGCCCTCTCCTGGGTGCTTGCTCTCCAAATTATTTTCACCCTGTGACTTCCTACACATTTTTCCTGTTGCTCGCCCCCTTTTAGAATTCAAGGTCTTGCACAGCACGAGTTCCACTCCGCGCAGGGCTGTGCCCCCAACTGTGCAATAGGTGTTCGTTCAAAGAATAAATGTGTGTTTGGGGAGGGGGAGAATGGAGGCCTTCTTGGGCTGCATTTTACCCAATACCAACCTGTTGCACTTTTAAGCCCCTGGCCTTTTTTTGCTTGATTACCAAAGGGATCTCATCAATTTCTTCAATATTCCATATCCTCATGGTTCTATCCTAAAACAAACAACAAACCAACGGTCACAGAACAGGCTGGGGTACGTCATACAGTGGAATGCTACTGAACACTAGAAGAAATGAGCTGTCAGGCCACGAAAGGCTTGGAAGAGCCTTGCATGCCTATGGGTAAGCAAAAGAAGCCCTTCTGGGGCCAGCGTTATGGCTCAGCAGGTCAAAGCCACTGCCTGCAACACCCACATCCCATATGGGCAGCAAGCAGTTGGAGGCCCGGCTGCTCCATTTCTGATCCCGCTCCCTGCTAATGGTCTGGAAAAGCAGCGGAACAGCTTGGCTCCCATGTGGGAGACCCTGAGGAAGCTCTTGGCTCCTGGCTTTGGTCTGGCTTAGCTTGCTTGTTACAGCCATCTGGGGAGTGAACCAGCAGATGGAAGATATCTCTGTTTCTCTGTAACTCTTTCAAATAAATAAGTAAATCTTAAAAAAAAAAAAAAAAAAAAAAAAAAAGCCCATCTGAAAAGGGCACGAACACCCTAGGATGTTCTGGGAAAGGCAGAACTAGAGACAGGGGAAGCCCTGACCAGGGTTCTGGGGGAGCAGGGCTGGCCAGGTGAAGTGCAGCGAGGACTGTGACACTGTCATGGCGGATAGGTGGCATGCGTTTCACAAAATCCATGCAACTGTGCAACGCCAAGGGTGAGGCCATGTAAACTGTGCACTTTGGGTAATAAAAATAACGGATCCAGAAAGGAATGCAGTCCTGTTGACAACCTGACTCTAGCCTGAGGAGGCCTTGCAGACTTCTAGCCTGCAGAACTGGTGCTTAATGTTTAAACAGCGCCGTCTGTGGTAGCTAATTACAGCAGCGGCAAAAGAGGAGCACACTGAGGAATGCCACCTTTCCTAATTCAGCAGTTGCCGCAAATTCCCTCTGGTGGAACCTTTAGTAACAGGTGTGTTGGCCCCTTGTCCTGTACGCTGTCCGACTTTACCAACTATCATACTTTTCTCCAGTGCATGAAGGGATTTGTCAACTCACAGCAACAATATGTCCTCTCTAGCTCTTAGACACTTTGATGCAAATGCTGGAGTTTCAAGTCATCTTCTGGGTTTCTGTGAAGATGTTATTTCTATGAAGATTAATGAGCTTCTTCTGGGTCTTCCACGCGGATGCAAGGGCCCAAACACTTGGACCATCTTCCACTGCTTTCCCAGGCCCACAAGAGAGAGCTGGATTGGAAGTGGAACAGCTGGGACTCAAACCGGCATCCATATGGGATGCTGGTGCTACAGGCTGGGGCTTTAACCTGCTGCGCCACAGCACCAGCTCCTGTCATTTTCTCTCTCTCTCTCTCTCTCTCTTTTTTTTTTTTTTTTTTTTTTTTTTTTTTTTTTGGACAGGCAGAGTGAACAGTGAGAGAGTGGGAGAGAGAGACAGAGAGAAAGGTCTTCCTTTTGTCGTTGGTTCACCCTCTGACGGCCGGCGCACCGCACTAATCCGAAGCCAGGAGCCAGGTGCTTCCTCCTGGTCTCCCATGGGGGTGCAGGGCCCAAGCACTTGGGCCATCCTCCACTGCACTCTGCACCCCCCGGGCCAGAGCAGAGAGCTGTCCTGGAAGAGGGGCAACCGGGACAGAATCCAGCGCCCCGACTGGGACTAGAACTCAGTGTGCCGGCGCCGCAGGCAGAGGATTAGCCTATTGAGCCACGGCACTGGCCCCGTCATTGTTTTTTAATGTGTTGTAGTAAAATGTACATCGCAATACCAATTTAGCCGTTGGTAAGTGTACAATTCAGGAATATTAAATACATTCACAATCTGGTGTCACTATCACCTCCCTGTGTAGCCGAAACTTTCTCATCATCACAACAAAAACTGTGACGATCAGTGACTGCCCCCTCCCATCCCCCCACCCCTGGCAGCCAGCACCCTCCCTCCTGCCTCCGTGAATCTGACTGCCTCATGCAGTGTGTGCGCTGCTTTAACCTGTGTCATACTTCCCTTTCTTTATGAAGGCTGAATAAGGGGCTGGGGCTGGGGCACAGCGGGTTAAAGCCCCAGCCTGCAGTGCAGGTATCCCATATGGGCACCTGTCTGAGTCCCAGCTGCTCTACTTCTGATCCAGCTCCACGCTAATGTGCCTAGGAAAGCAGCGGAGAATGGCCCAGGTGCTTGGACCCCTGCACCCACGTGGGAGACCTGGAAGAAGCTCCTGGTTCCTGATTTCAGCCTGGCCTAGTTCCAGTCATTGTGGCTACTTGGGGAATGAACCATTGGATGGAAGACCTCTGTCTGTTTCTCCTTCTCTCTGTAACTCTTTCAAATAAATAAATATAAATCTGAATAATATTTGATTTTTGGGTGGACCTCCAGTCTAGAGTGTGATGTGCTCAGGAAAAGTTTAGGGGCAAGGAGGGACCCCACTCCTCTGGTGCTCACATCTAAGTTACAGCCCTCAGAAGCTAGATGTCTCATGCAGGCCAGTGTTGGGTGCCACTGGGCTGGGTGCAGTGATGCAGGGAGGGGTCCTCCCCCGGGATCCCAGGTGGTCTCTGCCACTTGTCCGTCAGCTGGTGCTTTCCCAACAAGACCCCTGTTGGCTCCACCACTCAGTAATCAGGTCAGATGTCCATGGTGCAGACCCAGGGGTCCCTGGGAACTTCCCACATCTACAGATGCAAGGGTGTGCTCTGCACAATCCCAGTGGCTCTCAGGGTGGGGAGGGCGGCCAGGTGTGGATGCCAGACTGAGCCTGCCCAGGAGCTCTGCCCTGATAACAGCAGTTCTGCTACCACCAACTCTGACAAACGCAACCGACATGTTCAGTCACTCAACGCTTGGCCACTTTTACCTTTGAAGCAGACAGAATCCATTTCTTGTTGCTGCTTATGGCAACATCCATTACCCAGTCCTTGTGACCCTAAAGAAAAATAAACGTCTCACAAAGAACCTGAGAAGAGGCCCGGATAGGATCAATGGAAGCCCACAGTCAGGAGCCATGGTTGTTGCTGTTTAAGTGCAGCTTGCAAAGCGTCCCTGGCTTCATCAACATGTAAAGAGGAATGCAGAGTGTAAGGACAGCGAGAAATGCATGTATCATTGCAGTGTATATACCTATTTTTTAAAATAATACTGTGGGAATGGGCATGTAGCCTCGTGGCTAAGATGCCTGCATCCCATAGCAGAGTGCCTGGCTTTGGATCCTGGCTCTGGCTCCAGACTCCAGCTTCCTGCTAATGCTGACCCCGTGAGGCAGCAGTGATGACTCAAGTCATTGGGTTCCTGTCACCCACGTGGGAGACCCGGATTGAGTTAGCATATCCTGGCGCCAGCCCTGGCTCAGGCCCTGCTGTTGTGGGCATTTGGGGAGAGAAGCCGCAGATGGACGGACACACTCTCTCTGCCTCTCAAAAATGTTACCTAGTACTGTGGTAGTATCAGGATGGGGGAAAAAAAGAGGGAGGGATTACATCCCCATCTGGCCTGAGGTCTCTGTGTGCATTCTTTGTTCTAGGAAACCCACTGGGAGGTCCTGTCAGCCAGTCAGCTCAGACGCGGACGCTCCCCTGTGGCTTCGGCCCCGGAGGCTTGTTTTCTGCAGGTGAGAAGGAGGTCAGAGGAGGTGGATGCATGGCTGGGGTTCTGACATGACGCCAGGGCTCTGCATCAGCCTCTTTGTCGAGCTTTGGCCTCTCCCGTAAGGGAAGAGGTGGGAGGAAAGGGTATAGGAACCTGAGGGTGGAAGAATGGAGAGGAGAGGAGGAGAGGGAAGAGGACAACCCGGCAGGGGACGAAGGCACTTTTCAGGACAGCGTGGTCCAAGCCTCCCCACGCTCTAGGAGACGGCGCAGACATACGGGCCTGGGGGCTTGCACAGGTGCTGCTGCTCAGGGGCACCAGGCTCCATACGGGTCTCAGGGGCAGAGATCAGGAGTCAGAGGTGACTGACATCGCAAGGCCAGGGAGCAGGCGGAGCTCCTGACAGAGGGGCTCCTGGGACGGGGACCCTGACTGAGCCCACTTTGGCTTCCTGCTGTGTTACAGGCCATGTCCCCTTATCACAGTCTCCTAACTTGCAGTCAGAAGCGTTCAGTCAACACCCACTTTGGAGCCCCGACCTCTGCACGCCTTTCTGTGCCCCAGCCAACATCCTCCCACCTCCGGGTTTTGCATTTGCGGTTCCAGCTGCCTGGAATGCCCTCCCCAAGATCCTCACTGACCCATCCAGTCCCTCCTTGCCATCGGTTCTCAGCTCAAGTGTCTCCTCCAGGAAGCCCGCCCTGCCCACCCACTGTGGACTGGTCCCTGAAGTCTTCCTAGCTCATTGTCCTGTGCCTTCTCTTCTCTGCTGGCTTCTTGTCTGTTCTTCCCCACAGGCACGTCTGCTCCCGTGGGAGGCACCAGGTCTGTCACCCCCCGGCATCCAGCCCCTCAGCGTGGAATGACGCAGGACCAAAGCTCCGATCCCTCTATCTCACGCTGCCACTTGTACCTTCAGGGCCAGCTTCCGGTAGCCTTCTGTTATATCCCAAATAGCCACAGTCTTGTCAAACCCTCCAGAAATGAGAAAAGAGCCTGCAACACAAAATGAAGGAGTGAGACCAGGGACTCACCTTCCCAGCCGAGTGCTTCTTCCTCTGGTGAGGCCGAAGGGGGCTGAGGATGAGTGGAAGGCACCCTGTGGCTTTCTGTGACCACACCGAGACCCCTCCTGGTGTGGCTCAACGGCCCCCTGCCAGGTACAGCCAACTCTCAAAATTCATGGCAGTTCTATAAAATATCTTATGTATTTGAGTTATATACAGAGAAGGAGACACAATGGGAGTCTCCCTGGGACTTTTGCTGGCACCACCAGACAGAAGGTCTCTCTCTCTCTCTCTCTCTCTCTCTCTCTCTCTCGGATTAGCAATGGCCAGAACAAGCATGGCCTGGCCCAGCAGCAGCCATCTTGGCCTCCCAGAAGGCAGGAAGCTGAGTGGGAGAGATGGGTTCCTGATGGTTGTGTCTGAGTCTCTGGATCCAGCCATGCCTGAAGTGGCAGCTGCTTCTGGCTTTCTCCATCACAGGGGCTAATGTGTTTCTTAATGTGTTGCTTAAGTCATCTTGTGTCTCCGCCACGTGTGAAATTGTGCCTGTGAATTTCCCTCTGGGCTGCTTTGCTTTGCTGGGGAAAATATCCGCCCTCGTGATTGGCATCACGGGAAATGGCCTGTGTGTGTGTGCGCTGTCCTAAGTCATTACGGACAGGAGCTGGGGACCCCTGCCTTGCGCTCCCACGGGAGCAGAGTCCCGCGGAGGGAAACCACTCACTGTCTCTGGCGAAGAAGCAGGAGCTCACAGAACCCTCGTGGCCCTTCATCAGAGTCACACACGCTCCACTGTTCCGAAACTCCCCCGTGTGGACATTCCATATTTTCAAGCTTTTATCCCAGGAGCATGTGCACAGGAAATGACCGCTGAAGGTAAAACAGCAGTTGGAGATTGCGTTGGCGTGTGCTCTGAAATAGGGGTGGATGGGATGTCCGCGTTACTGCCTCACCCTGAGGACTGGGGGACCTGCTTCAGCAGCTGCTGGTGTTGGGAGGGGACGTCGGCCCTGGGACAGCTGCCTGCCATAGTCCAGGTGTGAACTGGTCGGACTGTCACACTCTCCCGGGATGTCTCAGCCCTGCGAATGACTGTTGCCATTGTGTGCAGAGGGATTCTTTGCTAGGAGGGGCTGTCCTCTCTACTGTAGGATGTATAGCACCCCTGGCCTCTACCCTCTAAATGCCAGTAGCCCACACCTCCAGCTGTGACAACCAAAAAAGTCTCCAGATACTGCCCAGTGTCTACTGCGGGGCAAAACTGGCTCCCCGCTGAGAACCACTGCAATGTTCCGAGATGCTTGTGACCTGCAGAACAGGCAGTGGGGAGAGCTGTCGGAGGCGGTCAGTGGTCCGTGGTTGTCAGGGGTGGGGCTGGGAGGCCCCCCATAGGGGTTCCCTCCTGCTTCCTGCTCCCCGCCTCCCTTTCCTCCCCATGATGTTGGGCCTGGTTCCCTCTCCTTCTGTCCATCCTCACTCCTCTGACCTACTCCTCCAACTTGTCCAAAACTCTCTCTCCCCTTCCTCCCACTCCTCTCCTCATCTGTCTTCAGTGGGATCAAAGCATATTACGGTGCCATCTATTTAATTAAGTTTTGGGTTATTCATTCTGAATTTTTGACTGTCTTCATTTTAAAAATATTTCAAATGTAGCATGAATGAAAGAGGGAGAGACATAGACACACACACACACACACACACACACAGAATGAATCTTCCATCTACTGGTTCACTGCTCAAATGCTGCAATGGCCAGGGCCAGGCCAAGCTGAAGCCAGGAGCTTCATCCTGCTCTCCCACGTGGGTGGCAGGAACCCAAGTACTTGGTCCACCGTCCAATGTCCTCCCAGGTATATTAACAGGAAGCTGGACTGGAAAAGGAGCAGCCGGGACTAGAACCACCACTCACATGGGATGCTGGCATTGCCAGCAGCAGCTTAACCCATTGTGCCACAATCCTAGCCCTGCCTTCATTTCTTGAAAAGAAAAAAAAAATCAGTCAGCATTTTGCCACTTTTTGTTTTGTTTGTGATCCTCAAAGTATTCTTCCCGTGGCTCTCATCTCCTCTTGTAAATAGAGCTTTTAAGTGAACCCTAAAAAACATAACCATGCATCTCTGAATAGCCTGGGTCATAAAAGGTTGAGCAAAACGTTTTTCTAGAGTTTTGAGAGTTCTGGATCCTCTTTCAGTTCTTTGAAATGCACAAATTGAGAAAGTTCAAAAAAACAGAAATGTCACCTCCTCTTGGGTGTCCAAGAAAATTCTACCCAAGTCCAGGGCCTGATGGGCTAAGGCCATCCTGGCACGCACTGGAGCTGACAAAACCTCCCCAGAACACAGACACTGCCACTGGGGGTTAACCCAGGGCCATCTTGATTCTGCAGGATGGACTCCTGAATCACATACATTCTGCTTCTCCTAAAAGACCAGTTTATTTGTATGAAAGTATGGGGAGGGGCTGGCATTGTGGCACAGAGGGTTAAGCCACTGCCTGCAACACCAGCATCCAGTATGAGCACAGGTTTGAGTGTGGATGGTTCCACTTTCAATCTAGTTCCCTGCTAATCCTGGAAAAGCAGCAGCAAGTGGTCCCTACCCCCACATGGGAGACCCAGACGGAGTTCCTGGATCCTGGTTTCAGCCTGTTCCAGCCCTGGCCATCGTAGACATTTGGGGAATGAACCAGCAGATAGAAGCCTTTCTCTCCCTCCCTCCCTCCCTCCTTCTTATATAACTCCACCTTTCAAATAAATAATAAATATTTTTTAGAAAGTATGGGACAACTATTATGGTGCACTTGCAGTTCTGGACCACATGGTGTCCACACACCTCTTCTTATTCCTTCTGCTGAGTACAGCTAATGACCTTGGACACTATTTGTAAAGCAGACATTAGAAGATGATGAAGGGCCGGCGCTGTGGCACAGCGGGTAAAGCCACTGCCTGCAGTGCCCGCATCCCATATGGGTGCTGGTTCTAGTCCTGACTGCTCTGCTTCCGATCCAGCTCTCTGCTATGGCCTGGAAAAGCAGTAGAAGATGGTCCAAATCCTTGGGCCCCTGCACCCATGTGGGAGACCCAGAAGCAGCTCCTGGCTTCAGTCTGACCCAGCCCTGGACGTTGAGGCCATCTGGGGAGTGAACCAGCCAGTGGAAGATCTCTGTCTCTCTGTCTCTCTATTACTCCTTCAAATAAATTAAAAAAAAAAAAATAAGAAAAGAAACAATGGCCGAGATTTTAACAAATTGAGAAAGGAGTCAAGAATCTGAGTTATCCCCACACAGGATAAACGCACAGAAATCTAAACCCAGGCCCAGCATAGCTGAGCTCCTGAAAACCAAAGACAAAAGTTCTTACCAGCAGCAGGAAAGAGATGACACCTTACCCACAGGTGGGAGCAACATGACTGACAGTGGGTTTCTTATCGGAAACCATCAAGACCACAGGAAAGTGACTTGATGGGAGGTTTTGGTTTTTTTTTTCCTTTCATTGTTGTAAAATTTTATTTCTTTTTTTTTTTTTTTAGATTTACTTATTTATTTGCAAGGCAGTTACAGGGAGACAGGGAGACAGAGAGACAGAGACAGAGACAGAGAAATCTTCCATCCACTACCCAAATGGCCACAATGGCCAGGGCTGGGCCAAGTTGAAGCCGGGAGCCGAGAGCTCCATCTGTGTCTCCCACATGGATGGCAGGGGCCCAAGCATTTGGACCATCTTCCGTTGCTTTCCCTGGCGCATTAGTTTTTAAATAAATGAATCAATCAATCTTTTTTTTTTTAAAAGTACTTGTAATTGCTCATTGCAAGTTTCGAAACCAGTTGAGATCATGAATTTAAGCAAGACCAGCTATATGATTTTCAGGGTCCAAGGCAAAATTTAAAATGCCAGGTCACAGTTCCTCAAAAAGCTAAATATAGAATTACCCTATGGCCCACCATTTCTACTCCTTCCAATTTCCTAAAGAATAGGAAGCAGGAACTCAAACAGATACTTGTATGCCCATGTTCGTTGCTGTATTACTTTCAACAGCTAAAATGGAGAAATAACCCAAGTGCTCATCAGTAGCTGAAAATATGAACAAATGTGATGTAGTGAGACAACAGAGTATTATCCAGTCATCGAAAGGAATGCAGTTCTGGGGCATTTGGTGCAGAGGTGGGGCTGGTGGTGTGGCTCACTGTTAAGGGTTAAGTCTTCTCAAGCAATGCCAGCACCCGTGTGGACACTGGTTCCTATCCTGGCTGATCCTCTTCTTATCCAGCTCCCTGCTAGAGTGCTTGGGAAAGCATGGGAGACCTGGACGGAGTTTCCAGGTTCCCAGCTTCAGCCTGGCCCAGCTTTGGCTGTTGTGAGCCTCTGGGAAGTAAATAAGCAGATGGAAGATTCTCTCTCTCTCTCTCTCTCTCTCTCTCTCTCTCTCTCTTTCTCTTTCTCTTTCTCTTTCTCTTTCTCTTTCTCTTTCTCTCCCCTCCCCCTTTCAAGTAAATAGAGATTAAAAAAAAAAAAAAGGAATGAAATGCTTATGCATGCTACAATCTGGATGAAATCCGAGGACACTATTTTAAATGGGATAAGCCTGAGACAAGAGGAAAAACAATGAATGATTCCACTTAGATGAAATATCTAGATTAGGCAAATTCATACAGACAGGAAGTAGAACAAAGGAAACCAGAGGCTGGGGGCAGAGGGGTGAGGGGCTGTTGCTTAATGGGGACAGAGTTTCTGCTCAGGGTGATGAAATGACTTCAGAAACAGAGTGGTGATGGTTGCACAGCACTGGGAGGTGGTGAATCCCAGGGAATCCCACGGTGGTTCAAATGGCAAGTTTTATATAGTATGTATTTTATCACCATTAAAAATAAAAACGATACAATATCCTCCACATCCCTGAATTCCTTTTCAATGGGGAGACTTGTATGGTATGTGAATTACATCTCAGTAAAACGTTTATACAAGGAAGGGAAGGAGGGAGGTGGAGTGGACCTGTGAGAGGCTGCAGCAGATTCAGCCACCACTAGGGACACCCACATCCCACACGGGAGTGCCAGCTCCTCTGCTTTCCCACCCAGCGTCCCACTGATGCACCTGGGAAGCATGGTAGTCCACATACCTGGGCCCCTGCCACCCACGCAGGATCCCCAGATGGAGATTCTGGCTTCTGGCTTCAACCTGGCTCCGCCCTGGCTACTGTGGCCATGTGCGGAGTGAACCAGCAGATGGAAGATCTGGCTCCCCCTCCCTCTCTGATTTTTCACTATATTCATGCATCCTTTGGTGCCTATTAAATTTTGTACTATGTTGCCATCTTAAATTTTCAAACAGTAAATTATGCATTTTGAAATTAAACCATGTAAGGAGTTTGTTCAGAAATTATCCAGAATCCCAAGATGCCAACAGCAGAGCACAGACCCCAGCGTGGGGCCCTTCTTAGCCTGGGCACCTGCCTGACCTCAGAGGTCAAGTGTCTTGAAGCTAGCTTGTCCTGTGCTTCTGAGACTCTTTGTGTCTTTTCTTACTGAAGGCTACATTTCCTGAAAAATCACCCATTCAAGGTAAACCAAAGTGACCAGTAGACTTCTCCCAGAATCCCCTGTGCTGCCACCATCCCACTGGGGCACCAGAAGGCTCTAGGACACTTCCCACAGCTGCAACTGTGGGCCTCTGCCGCCCTCACTCACCTCGTGCCATGCCCACCTGCTCTAAGGAGCAGGGTAGAGGGGGTGTCCATGGCCCCTGGACGCAGGCCTTCCCTGGGTATCCCTCTCAAGGGCAGAGTGCATGCGGGGGGGGCCCAGTGTGGGGTCAGCCCCGTGCTAAGGTCCTTCTTCCTGGGGCACATTCTTCAGACCTCACCTCTGTTGGGTGTACATGGTCGCACAAGATGGGAAACTACATCCTCTTCATGCCTAGCCATGGGGAGGCCGGGGCAGGCAGGGGTAAGGGACCAGAGCACGGCAGGGTGACAGATGGATACACAGTCTGGGGCTCATCCCATCTGGCGAGCCTGGGGTTATCAGAGCCTGGGGTTATCAGATTATAGAAGGCTAGAAATTCCCTTTTTCACAAGGGTTCTGCACATGTTTCCTAGTGCTGGCTCATACTGAAATACAGGCATGGGAGGCCCAGGCTGGAGACGCCGCAACGTGCTGGAAGGCGGGCAGGCGTATGATACCCGCCCCCGCCCCCCACCCTGGCCCCCAACTGCCAGCCTCCCCCCGGGCGGGGTCTACCTCACTTTGGGATGGTGAGCAGCGTGGCCTGGGAGGTGACGTCCCAGATCTTGATGGTCCTGTCCAGCGAGACAGATGCCACCTTCTGGCTGTCGGGGTCAAAGCAGCACGCCGTGAGGGACCTCTGGTGGTGATCTGCAGCACAGGAAGGGACTTGAGACCCCACCCACGCCCCCATTCCAGGCCAAGAGCTTTGTAGGAGCAGAATTTCAGTTTTCATAAAGGACCGCCCACCTGCACAGACACCTCGCAGTGCCTGCTGGGTGCCTGGCTTCTGCAGAGCTGGAGACGCCTGCAGCAGGCAGAGACCCACCGCCAGCCAAGGGTGATGAACGTTTGAAATCCAGGCACAGTGTTTTCTTTTTAAATTAATGATTTCTTTATCCCTTTGAAGGGCAGAGTGATGCAGAGAGGGAGAGACAGAGAGAAAGAGATTTTCCACCCACCGGTTCATTCCCCAAATGCCTACAATAACCAGGTCTCGGCCAGGCCAGAGCCAGGAGCCAGGAGCCAGGAGCCGGGAACTCCGTGCATGTTTTCCACTGGGGGAGCAGGGATCTGGGCACTTGGGCCATTGCCCTCGCAGGCACTTTGTAGGGAGCTGGCTTGGGGGCTGAAACAGGTGCTCTGATAGGGGGTGTGGGCATGGCAAGCTGTGGATTAACCTGGTGAACCACATTGCTGGCTCTACTGTCCACAGCCATTTTGAGAATCTTTTGAATACAAAGCTTTCAAACAGATTTTGCACCAAAATAAACTGATCTTTTGATCCCATTTTTGCAAAAATTTTCCAAAGCCCCTCAGGCTAACACCAGGTGCCTCCCATGGGAGGGCCAGGACAGGTCCAGCCGCCTTGCAATTTTTCCTTTGTATATCAGATTTTCTTTACAACGACCATGTATTTTTTTTTTTCAATGCTTTATTTTAGGACAACTGCCAACTCACATTGCCAGGGCAAGGGATACCACAGAGAGGTCCCATGTGCCTTTGCCCCAGCTTCCCGCATCTGCATACCGACCTCGTGGGATTGCAACCACAACACTGACATACAGGGATTCTTATTTTTATAATTTAAAGAAGAGAGTGGTAAAAAATGTGAAGAAAGCTGAACCTCTACTCTCTAAAGGGCTGGATTTCAGTGTGCACATGGGGTGGGAGAGGTGCGCCAGGGCCTCTGGCACAAGCACAGACAGGGCGAGAGCACTCCCGGGAGAGCACCCACCTGCAGGGTCCACCTTCACTGCTGCTTCTGTGAGTCGGGGGCCCCACCACCACCACGCCAGTGTCACCAGAGGAAGCCATCGCAAGTCACCACCTGTCAAGTGACGGGCGGCCGCTGCTCTGGGAGTCAGGACAGAGCAAGGAACCCCTGAAACCTCACCTTTCACATGAGCCACCGTGGTGACGTTTTCCATGTCTGTGATGCAGATTCCACGGTCCACGTCCAAGCCCGAGACCACGTATTTCCCATCTGGAGAGAGCTTGCAGGACACTATGAAGTTATCGTGGCTGATCTTCCACTGAAATGGGGCAGCAGACAGGCCCAGCCACCCACTAGGACTTTCTGTGATGATGCGAATGCCCTGTCTATGCACTGCCCACTGTGGTAGCCCTGGGTCACATGGGGTCACTGAGTATATAAGGGACCAGTGTGGAGACGGAGCTGAATTCTTAGGTCTGTTTCGTTTTGATTAATTTAATGGATACTTTTAATTAACGATCTGTGTCCTGCACAGATGAAGAGGGCTGAGGAAGGAACCAGTGCAAGTGGCTACAAGGCTGTAGTCACGGGCCACTTTGCCCCTGCTCAGAGCGGGACGCAAGCGTTGATGGGATGTCTGTGCTGTGGCCCTCAGAGCACCAGGGGGAGGCGGGCAGGAGATCACAGAGTCGGACAAAGAGTGAGGAAAGGAAGAACAGAAGATTTGCCCGACAGGGAACAGACGTCTGCGGAAACGCCCAAAGCCAGGAGTAATCTATAAGTCTCGCTGTTCACCTACCAAATTGGCTAACATGTCAATCAAATTATGGCACCAGTATGAGAGGGCAGGAGATGGTAAGCACCCCTTGAGGTTTCATCTGTGACTCCCACGTGGGTGCAGGGGCCCAAGTACTTGGGCCATCCTCCATGCCTTCCCAGGCGCATTAGCAGGGATATGGATTGGAAGTGGAGCAGCCAGGACTCAAACCGGTGCCCATAGGAGATGCTGGCACTGCAGGCAGCAGCCCAACCTAATACGCCATAGCGCTGGCCCTGGAAGATCTCTCTCTTAGAAATAGTAGGACGAGGGAGCCGGCGCTGTAGCATGGTGGGTAAAGTCGCTAATGGCAATGCCAGCATCCCATGTGGGCACTGGTTCAAGCCCAGGCTGCTCCACTACCAATCCAGCTCTCTGCTTTGGCCTGAGAAAGTGGTGGAGGATGGCCCAAGTACTTGGGCCCTTGTGCCCATGTGGGAGACCCCAGAAGAAGCTCCTGGCTCCTGGCTTCAGATCAGCCCAGCTCAGCCAATGTAGCCATTTGGGGAGTAAATCAGCAGATGGAAGATCTCTCTCTTTCTGCCTCTGCCTCTCTGTAACTCTGCCTTTCAGAATAAATAAATAAATCTTAAAAAAAAAAAAAAAGACTAGGCCGGCACCATGGCTCACTAGGTTAATCCTCTGCCTGCTGCACTGGCACCCTGGGTTCTAGTCCCGATTGGGGCGCCTGTTCTGTCCCGGTTGCTCTTCTTCCAGTCTAGCTCTCTGCTGTGGCCCAGGAAGGCAGTGGAGGATGGCCCAGGTCCTTGGGCCCTGCACCCGCATGGGAGACCAGGAGGAGGCTCCTGGCTCCTGGCTTCTGGCTTTGGATCAGCGCAAATCGCCGGCCGTAGCGGCCATTTGGGGGGTGAACCAACAGAAGGAAGACTTTCTCTCTCTCTCTCTCACTGTCTAACTCTGCCTGTTAAATAAATAAATAAATAAATAAATAAACAAATAAATAAAAAGACTACTTACATATTTATCTGAAGAAAAAAGAAATAAAAGGATGAAGTGGATATATTCCTTTTTGAGAAAGAAGATAAGACAGAGAGAGAGATTTGAAAGGCAGAGTTACAGAGACAGAGAGAGGGAGAGACAGAGAGAGATCTTCCATCCACTGGTTCACTCCCCAAATGGCCTCAAAGGCCAGGACTGGGCCAGGATGAAGCCAGGAGCCTGGAACTCTGTCCTAGTCTGCCACACAGGTGTCAGGGGCCCAAGCACTTGGGCCCTCCTCCACTGCATTCCCAGAAGCATTAGCGGGGAGCTGGATCAGAAGTGGAGCAACAAGCGCTCAGACATGGGATTCCAGCCACAAGCTGGTGCCTCCCTCCATACACCCCTGTGGGTGACTTGTTATTCACAACTTACTGTCAAGTGAGAGAAAGTTAGAATCCAGAGAGTGCATAAATGATACTCCAAGGGTACTTCCAAAGGTTCATGGGAAATGGAAAGAAATGTGGTGCCAAAAAATCTGAAATCCATTCATACCTGAGGTTTTCAAAAAGTCTGTGGAAAATATGCATTAGGAAAAAGCTACTCACAAGTTCTAAAAATATTTTTGCATCAAAATAAAATTCTTTGAATTCCATTTGTCCACAAACTCTTGGTTGTACCCTCATGTATTTACTAACAAAACACACTTGCCTGTGTCCATATGGGAACGTGCATAGGGAAAAATACACCAAGACAGGCGCTGTCATCCCTGAATGGTGGTTTTAAGCGGTTTTCTTGGATTCTTTTTTAAAACTTAGTTTATCTTATCTCTCTAAAAATGTTGGCCACGAATATAAATTGATTTTTGCAATAAGAGGAAAGGTTGTTCCTTTGTTTGTTGAAACAGAAAGGAGGATGAAGGGAAGCGGTCGGGAGCTCCTGGGGCTGGGGTCCTGAGGAGGCCCCGGAGCAGGGCGGAGGCTGCCCGGGCCAGGGAGGGATCCAGGCCTCTCTGGTGGAGATGGACAGGAGCCCGCTCCAAGACACAAGAGGATGGATTGGGAGGAATCTGCAGCCCTGGTTCTTCACCCACATGGCCTCCGTCCATGGCCTCAGCCCCAGTTTCTGCCTCATGTAATCCAGATGTCCCACAGGGGAGCCCTGAACGCCATCCCCCTCCCCCCATCCACACAGCCGCCCTGGCTTTCTTTCTGTGTCTGAAGCCCCTCCCACCATCCACGGAAGCCCTCAAGCTGCCAGCTCCAGGAAGCTTCCCTTCCCCAACACCTCCCCACCAGCCCATGCAGCCTCCAAACTCTGCAAGCAACGCCTGCTGTGGGGTGCTGTTCACGCCTGCATCTTGGGGCCCTGCGGAACCTAGGGCTTTTGCCATCTCCTCCCTCCCTGGGTCCAGCCCAAAGCCACCCAGGCCCAGTAAAGACCCTGTGCTGGGCAGGGCATACGTACCAGCATTTTGCCTGTTTCCAGGTCCCAGGCCCTCACTGTTTTGTCATAGGATGCTGCAATAACTCTGGAAATAAAATACACACTGCGTCACAATGGCAGAGGCACTTATGCCTGTAGCTTCCATGGGGGCTTCTTCAAGTTTAGGACCAAGATTCCAAACAATACAAAAGATGCCCTGAGGGGCCAGCGCCCTGGCGCACTAGGTTAATCCTCCGCCTGCGGCACCGGCATCCCATATGGGCACCGGGTTCTAGTTCTGGTTGCTCCCCTTCCAATCCAGCTCTCTGCTGTGGCCCGGGAGTGCAGTGGAGGATGGCCCAAGTGCTTGGGCCCTGCACCCCATGGGAGACCAGGAGGAAGCACCTGGCTCCTGGCTTCAGATCGGCACAGCTCCGGCCCTTGCGGCCATGTGAGGAGTGCACCAACGGAAGGAAGACTTATCTCTCTCTCTCACTGTCTGTAACTCTAGCTGTCAAATAAATAAATAAAAATCTTTATGGCATGTTTCAAAGGCAAAGTTTGTCCTCTGTACTAAATTTAGTCCAAATGCAAACTTTTTTTTTCTTTTTCACCAGTACACTGGTTTTGTAGCTGCAAATTCCCACAGGCCTGCCTCTTGGGGCAGCATGTGCAGTTCCACTTGCACTGGAGTCCTGGCTGACTCGGCGCTCACACACCTGGGAAGGCTGTGGAGGATGGCCTGAGGGCTTGGGCCCCTGCCACCCATGTGGGAGATTTGGATGGAGTTCCTAGATCCTGGCTGAAGCCAGGACCAGCCCCAGCTATTAAATAGCCATTTGGTAAGTGAACCAGCAGATGGAAGATTCCCTCTCTCTCTCTCTCTCCCTCTCTCTCTTCTCTCTCTCTCTCTCTCGTCGCTCTACCTTTCAAATAAATAAATATTTTAGGGGCCAGCATTGTAGCACAGAGGGTAAAGCTGCCACCTGCAATGCTGGCATTCATTATGGGCACCAGTTCAAGCCCTGGTTGTTCTACTTCTGATCCAGCTTCCTGCTAACAGCCTGGGGAAAGCAGCAGAAGATGTCCCAAATGCCTGGGCCCTTGGCACCCATGTGGGAGACCTAGAAGAAGCTCCTGGCTCCTGGCTTTGGCCTGGTCCAGCCCTGGCCATTGCTGCCATCAGGGGAGTGAACCAGCAGATAGAAGATCTCTCTCTCTAACTTTGACTTTCAAATAAGTAATAATAGATAAAACTTTTAAAAATTGCTCTTAAAAATTTTTTTAAAGAAATCGTTTAAAAAACAGAAAGCGAATTCCCCAGGCTGCCCCAGGCCTCCCATCTGTGTGAGTGGACTGCAGCAAACACATTCCAGAAACCCTTCTCTGTGTCGCTGCCTCTTCACTTTTGATGCGTCCTGGGGGACAGCCCAGCAGGCCTTTGCCCCCAGGGCCTCAGTTTCCCCTGCAGAATGGGCGTCTGGCCGAAGCTGCTCAGGCCGCTTGCAGCTGTGACAGTCACATGCTGCTGAGCAGGAAAGAGAAACTCCAGGAAGAAACTTCAGACTGGCCTGCACCAGCTAGAACAAATGGGCTCTTTTTTAAGCACTTTAAGTTGACAAAGTGCTGTTACAGCTACTTGATTCTCACAGGGAAAAGTCCGTAGACTCATAATGGGGAAATGGTTGCATAGTTGCTTAAAAAAAAATCAACTAAAGGGGGCCGGTGCTATGGCGTAATAGGATAACCTCTGCCTGCGGTGCCGGCATCCCATATGGGTCCTGGTTCATGTCTCAGCTGCTCTGCTGTGGCCTGGGAAAGCAGTGGAAGATGGTTCAAGTTCTTGGGCCCCTGCACCCACATGGGAGACCCAAAAGAAGCTCCTGGCTCCTGGTTTTGGATCGGCCCAGCTCCGGCCATTGTGGCCATTTGGGGAGTGAACCAGTGGACAGAAGATTTGTCTGTAACTCTACCTCCCAAATAAATATATACAATCTCTTTTTAAAAAATCAATTTAAAAACAAGACAAGGCGCAGGCATTTGGTAGTTTGATGCTGCTGTTAGGTGCTTGTTACCACACCCATATCTTGCATGGGAGTGCCTGGATTTAAGTCCCAGCTCCAGCTCCGGACCCCAGGTTCCTGCCACTGCAGACCCCAGGAGGATCAAGTGACGGCTCAAGTCACGGGTCCCTGCTACCCATGGGTCCCTGCTACCCATGCAAGACCTGGATTGAGTTCCCAGCTCCTGGCAGGCGTGGGGGGGAGGGTGACCCAGTAGTTGGAGGCTCTTCTGCTCTCTAGCTCTCTTTCACTCCCTCCCTTGCAAATAAACTAAAATTTAAGAAACAAGAAACCCGCCAAGTGTGTATACCCCACCTCCACCCTGGCCTGTGGGGAAGTCACCTCCTGCTGTCAGCCGAGACGCTGCACTCCACGACAGGCGCTTCGGGCCCGTGCTCAAACTCCCGCTCCACAGCTCCATTGAAAGCGTTCTCGAATCAATGGGAGACGAAGGGAGAGTGGTCACCACCACGCTTCTTGAAGCTGTGAGCCAAGGCCATGAACAGCCCTCAGCTCATCTATAGCAGCCAAGCACATGAACCCCAGGGCCCTAGGACTGCCAATTAGTGCCCAGAGACAAAGGACCTCGCAGCAACTCCCCGGGCAGGGGGACCCCCTTGCCATCCATAGCAGCCATGGAAACCCCACACGCACTTCCACAGGCACTGGGTGCTCACTGGGCACCCTGGGAGCAGAACTCCAAATGGGTGAGTTTTCTCTTTTTCTACTGGCCAAAGAGACTGCAGCATCTAGCAGTTCTTTCCATCACTTCTTTTTGTTAAGCTCACAGCCTTTGACCTGGGGCGGGGTGGTGGGGGTGTCTCCTAAAAAATAATCAAAATTGTGATCAAAGACTTAGGAATGAAAAGCTTCAATGTGCAAGATAAATGATGGCAAAATCACAGGCCAGTAACCTAGGTGTCCCTCTAAAGGGGGTGGTGAAAACCAGTACATCCAGCAGTGGGGCGACAGCAGCTGCCAACAGCCCTGCTGAAGGTGAAGAGCGAGAGACTGAGATGAGAAGCAAGCAGAGTTCCCAGGAGGATAAAAGTGTTTGCAGTAAGAAACACTAGGGTCAGCGCTGTGGCTTAGTGGGTAAAGTCACCGCCTGCAGTGCCGGCATCCCATACGGGTGTCAGTTCGAGACCCAGCTGCTCCACTTCCCATCCAGCTCTCTGCTATGGCCTGGGAAGGCAGTAGAAGATGGCCCAAGTGCTTGGGCCCCTGCACCCATATGGGAGACCCGGAAGAAGCTCGTGGCTCCTGGCTTTGGATTGGCACAGCTCTGGCCCTTGCAGCCATCTGGGGAGTGAACTAGCGGATGGAAGACCTCTCTTTGTCTCTTTGCCTCTGCCTCTCTGTAACTCCACCTTTCAAATAAATAAAAATATTTTTAAAAAAGAAAAAAAAAGTGAAATGTGCCAACAGCTTTTGTTTTCAGCTCCAACCAGGATGGAAGGTCCCCTTGACACAAACGTTATTGGTAAGGCAAAGAATCACTAGCAGGACCGGACCTTATTGCTATTATGTGTGTGGGAGCTTTGGGACCTTACTAGGGTAGGTCTGTGACAACATTACCTGATATTCAGGGACCATATTGCATTAGGACTTCAAGCCTTCCGGGAGGCAAGGGACCCCGTACCAGGGGTCCCTGAGACCACCCCCAGGTTTGGGGATTCTCTAGCATGCACTGGGCTCCTCCTAAAGCTACACTCACAGCTGAGTGTCATCACAGTGAAAGGACACAGAACCGAGCCAGCAAAGGCAAAGGCACTGCCCGTGCAGAGGCAGCCAGGCAATCTTCCGAGAGTCTTCTCCAGTGAGTCCCTGGGAAGTGGCTCCACTTGGGAAGTGTTGGCCACCAGGGAGGTGCACGGGAGCCTAGTGGTCCAGGGATTTTTGTTTTGTTTTTAATCTGCGGCTGCCCACATCAGCACGGTCTGTCTAGCATGCACCAAAATTCGACTTTCAGAAGGAAAGTGCTTGAGGCAAAGCGAGCCACGCCCACCACTCAGGGAAAGGCTCGAATAGTTATAGGGAAGTGATTACCCCTTTCCTGCATAGACCCTCTCCCTCAACTCCTCCTCTGTGGGGCTCAAAACAATGGGACCATGTTTAAGTGAACTCAGCAGGCCCCAGGCGAAGCCCAATAGCAGGAAAGGACATCAGGAGTCCCAGAGGGGAAGTCACCCCAGGGGGCAGGTGGGATACATCCAGGCGGGCAGCCTAGGCTCAGGAGTCTAATGGCTTGGGAAGAAAGGGCTGTTCTGACAGCCTGGGGTCCAGCCTCCCTGGTTGATGTGCTGCTCTGGTCAAAAGCCACGTGGCTGTGGACTAAGAAAACGATCTTCTGGAGCCTAGGATCAAGGCCATGCAGTCTGGGCAGAGTCTTGGGCAAACTAAGGGCAGCGCTGGAATGGACACTGTGTCCCTGGGGCTGCACAGGTTCAGCATCCAACAGTGACACCCCATGGCCAAAGAAGGAACAGCAACCATGGACAGGTAAACCAGCTTCCTCTTCATTTGCCTGTGCACTCAGACAACTTAACCAGGCAGATCCTGCTCAGACTCGGAGTGAATGTACAGCAAAGGGCTCTCATAAATAGTGGGGAAAATAAAGGAATAAAGGAGAGGTGATACTGCTTGTAGCCCAAGTTCATGACGAGTACCCAAAATTTCTATATGGTCCCAATGTTGCAAATGTATTTATCTGTATATACAAGAAAAAAAAATGTGCTCCAACGTTTCCATAGCAGTTAACTCTGGGGTCATGGAACAGTGAAGGTTTTTTTTTTCCCCTTGTGTTTTTAAATATTTCTTAAAATAAAATTGTTACCTTTGTAATGTGAGAGAAACTACCAAAGGGTTTTTTGTTTTTTGTTTGTTTGTTTGTTTTTAAGGTAGAGTTACAGAGACAAAGAAAGAGATCTTCCATCTGCTGGTTCAATTCCCAAATGGCTGCAACAGCCAGGGCTGGGCTTGTCTGAAGCAAGGAGTCAAGAGCTTCTTCTGGCTCTCCCACATGGGTGCAGGGCCCAGGCCTGCTCTCCCAGGCAAATCAACAGAGAGCTGGATGGGAAGTGGAGCAGCCAGACAGGAATTGCACCGATATGGGATGCTGGCCCTGCAGGCAGCAGCTTGAACCACTATGCCAGGGCGCTGGCCCCCAAACTTATATTTTTAATGACCGGAAAGAAAAGTGTCAACATATGAGAGGGAGATGGGGTATGGGATCAAGAATTATTTTCAGGGCCGGTACCGTGGTGCAGGTTAATTCTCCACCTGTGGCACTGGCATCCCATATGGGCACGGTTCTACTTGGCTGCTCCTCTTCCAATCCAGCTCTCTGCTGTGGCCTGGAAAAGCAGTAGAAGATGGCCCAAGTCCTTGAACCCCTGGACCTGCGTGGGAGACCGGGAAGAAGCTCCTGGCTCCTGGCTTCGGATTGGTGCAGCTCCAGCCATTGCAGCCATCTGGGGAGTGAACCAATGGAAGAAAGACCTCTCTTTCTGTCTCTACCTCTCTTCGTCTGTAACTCTACCTCTCAAATAAAAAAAAAAAAAAAAAGGAATTATTTTCCCCCCAGTTTCTTCATTCATTTATGGGGTTTCCAAGTTATTGACAAAACTCTCCAGTTAGGGGAAAGGCAGCTTTTCAAAGATCAAGACAGGTGTATGGGCCTGGGGTGAGGTGGCAGGAAGGGACTGGAGGTGGGGTCACTGGGAAAGAAGAGACAGAGGCAAGGGGACATGTTGGCCAACACGCTGTAAGAAGAGAGAGCAACTGTGTAGGGCAGTGGCTCAACCATCTGCCGAGGGGAGGACAGTGCATGACGAGGGCAGAGGTGGGGTGGGGAGAGCCATGGCTAGGACCAGGAGGAGCCCATGGAAGGGGAAGAAGATAGGAAAAAAGAACCAGGGGGAGAGATGGAGATCCTGGGTGGGGGCAGTCAACAGGGTAGCCAAGGCTGGGAGCCGAGGGCACAGCCTTGGGGGTACAGGTGTGAGACAGGCAGAGGCAAAGGGCAGGAGCAGGGGGCTCAGGGAGTGAGTTACGAGTGTGCCCAGCAGTGAGGGTGGGGTACTGTGATGTGTTTCCTAGGACGGGGAGAAGGATGGCTGTGGCAGCAGAGGTGGAGTGAGCACATCCTGGGCGGGTGCTACCATCTGGGTATGCTTTGGCTCTGGATCTCATGCAGAACTTTAGTAAGTTCCTGGAACTGAGAGGCCGGGAACTTCACTGACTGTGAGGTTAGGAGGTGGGCCTAGCGGGAGGTCCTGAGGTCACCAGGGCGTGCTGTTGGGGTTCATTCTCAGGAGAGAGCTGCCATGAAGGCGTGTGCAGGGACAGCCGCCCACTCTGCTTCCTGTCCTGCCCTGTCCTGCCCTGTGATCCTCCCCACATGTGCTCCACCTCTGCTACCACCACCCCGGCCAGAGGCCAGACCGATGGGGCTGCCTATGGACTTGAACCTGTGCGCTGAGTAGACCTTTTCTCTATCAAGTTAGCTGCCCCTGGATTTCACTGTCATCGTGATGCAGTGCAGCACGGAACAGGCAAGGGACCAGGGCACAAGGCTGCTGTGAGGACCAAGCACATCTCCAGGGACACCAACCCAAGTGGAGACAGGCAGATGTCTCCATTCAGAGACAGGAGCCCTTCAGCCCAAACAGATGGAAACCCCGCAAGTCCTTCCCCCCAGCTCAGAGTAAGAAGAGCAAGGGAAGCGCCTGGAGACAGCAAAGCAAAATGCACACTTGAGGAGTCACCAGCCCCACCCCCTGGGTGACAGCCATGGCAAAGACTTCCTTACTTACCCTCAGGGCTTCTCCACCAGCCCAGAGGGTTCAGAAAGGACTTAGGGTTCCAAGTGTTAAGATCAGGGGACTCCAGGGCTCTGGGGTCGGGGGAGGAGAGGTCTGTTGGGGCCTGGTGTGGGCCAGGCAGACCCCAGGGGCAGATCTAACACAAAGCTGGGGTCTCGAGGCAGGGGGAGGCTCAAGGAGGCCCAGGGGTCAAGTAACAGCAGAAGTCACATAACTTGTGGGACCTACGTACAGTCCCACAACCCCCCTGCCTGGCTGGCCAGGCCTTGGCACCCACTGATGACACAGATGTTCCTCTGAGGTCATGTGCAGGGTGAGGGGCTGTCCTCCACCCAGTGACCTGATCCAGAATCTGGGGAACCGGCCTTAAATTCACTCCACTCGGTCTTCTTCCTGCCCTACAAGCCAGACAAGACACCAAAACTCAGAACTGACTGCCCTCTCCCAGGGAGGTGTCCTGGTCCCTGATGGCCACTGCCACCTCCCAACCCTGCCCATTCCTGCCAGGGTCTGCTGGTCACACTCACAGGGCTCCGGCAGGGCTCCGGATGGCCACATCTCTGCAACTGACTGGAATATCACGACACCATCCCTTGTGCCCCTGCTCCCTGCATCTTGGGGTGCTGATCTGCCCTTGAGCCCGCCTCTTTCAAAGCCACCTTCAATTGTCTGTGACCTCCCCCACCCCCTCCCCAGGCCTGGCCATAGCATCCTTGTGGGTGCAACTGAGTTTCTCAGATGAGAAGGAGGCCTCAAATGATGACATAACTCAGAGGCCCCAGGTAGGCCCTCAGAGCCACTGGGATTCCCCAGCTGGCTGTCAGTCCCGTCACCTCCACCCCGGCTCTCGCTGTGTCCAGATCGACAGGCAGCAGCACTAATTCATCTCTGCTCTGACCCTAGGGTGGGCTCCTCCTCTTCTTCACGCTGTGCTCGGAAGCCCCTTACAAACTCCTGGGATCTGTGAGTGTCAGGGAACTCAGTCCAGGGGAGGTCTGCACGAGCAGTGCCTACGTTTCGTTCTGGGAGGGCCTGCAGGGGCCACCTACCCACAGCTTCACAGTGCAGTCGTAGGAGCCACTGAGGAGCTTCGTGTCATCCACGCAGAAGTGGCAGGAACTCACGACATGGTCGTGCCCACTCAGGATTTTAAACGGGATCTGAAAAAAAAGGGCTAATCAAAAGAGTTCAACAAGGTTGCAGGGGAAAAAACCCTGCATTTCTAAATACTTGCAGTGAACAACCTAAATAGAAAATTAAGAAAAAAATCCATTTACAAAAGCATCAAAAACATATGGAGGGGGGCAGTGCTGTGGTGCAGTGGGTAAAGCTGCTGCTTGCAGTGCCAGCATCCCATACGGGCGCTGGTTCGAGACCCAGCTGCTCCACTTCTGATCCAGCTCTCTGCTATGGCCTGGGAAAGCAGTAGAAGGTGGCTCTAGTGCTTGGGCCCCTGCACCCACACGGGAGACCCAGAAGAAGCTCCTGGCTCCTGGTTCCTGGCTTCAGATCAGCTCAGCACCAGCTGTATGGCCATTTTGGGAAGTGAACCAGTGGATGGAAGCTCTCTCTCTCTCTCTCTCTGCTTCTGCCTCTGCCTTTCAAATAAATAAATAAATCTTAAAAACAAAACAATACCAATTCAATTTTGAAAAAAAAAAAAAGGCATGTAGGAATAACCTGAACAAAGAAAGCATAAAACTTATACTCTGAAAATTACAAAACATTGCTGAAATTAAATGAGGCCTAATCAAACGAAAGCGATCCCTATTCCTAGATGAGCTGACTGAATGTTAAATTCTATAAAAGCATTCTATAAAATGCTCCATGGACTCAACACCATCCCATCAAGTTCCAAGCTGACATCTTTGTAGAAACTGAGAAGGTGATGCTAAAATTCATATGTAAAGTTACACATGGCAGGGGGAGGGGGGTGTCTTCCATCCACTGGTTCACTCTCCAGATGGCCCCAACGGCTGGAGCTGCACTGATCTGAAGCCAGGAGCCAGGAGCTTCTTCTGGGTCTCCCACGCGGGTGCAGGGGCCCAAGGACTTGGGCCATCTTCTACTGCTTTCCCAGGCCACAGAGAGAGCTGGATCGGAAGTGGAGAAGCTGGGATTTGAACTGGTGCCCATATGGGATGCTAGCACTGCAGGAGGTGGCTTCACCCGCTGCGCCACCGCGCCACCTCCGCTAGTAGAGGTTTAAATCAGTATTCCTTCCTTACATCTCTTTGCAGAGCAGATAGAAAGAAATATTTTCCCTCCCCTTCTGTTTTCTCATCCACCATGCATTCCTATGAAGTCCTATGTTTGCAGTCTTAAATATGGCCCAACAAAGCACTACTACACACAGTGTATCCAATAATTTTTTTAAACTCTGAAAGAACAAAATATATCCTAACCATTCCTTCTTGCGTTTGTTGCCGACTCGTTAAGCTGGAGTTGAACTGGCTGGTCTCTGCAGGGAGATGTGGATGAACTTGCAATGTGTTAACAGCTAATCAGAAGCATTTCAGAGAAGAAGTAGACCTTACTAGCACAACCAAGCTCTGATGTCACCATGGTGCTGGGTGTACCTGCTGCTCCCAGGTGTCAACAAAGCCCAGGACAGCTGGGGATGCTGGTCCAGGGCTGGGAGGTGGTTTCTGGGAGCAGCCAACACTCTCATGTGGGGCCTGCCAAGTGGCTGTGTTGACTGTTGGTCTAAGCAAACTGCTGCATGCCTACAGGCCCCTTGGTAACTCAGCAGCTGCTCCCACACCTCCTGCGGATATCCACAGGGGGCAAGCTGTGGCATCCAAAAGGGGTGACAATTACTTGCACCTTGAGTCACGTGTTAAGAAAAAATAATGAGGCTGGTGCTGTGGCTCAGTAGGCTAATCCTCCGCCTTGCGGCACCGGCACCCCGGGTTCTAGTCCCGGTCGGGGCACCAGATTCTGTCCCGGTTGCCCCTCTTTCAGGCCAGCTCTCTGCTGTAGCCCGGGAGTGCAGTGGAGGATGGCCCAAGTGCTTGGGCCCTGCACCCCATGGGAGACCAGGAGAAGCACCTGGCTCCTGCCGTCGGATCAGTGTGGTGCGCCAGCCGCAGCGCGCCAGCCGCAGCGGCCATTGGAGGGTGAACCAACGGCAAAGGAAGACCTTTCTCTCTGTCTCTCTCTCTCACTGCCCACTCTTCCTGTCAAAAAACAAAAAACAAACAAACAAAAACAAAACAAAAAAAAGAATGAGATTACAGCCTTCATGCTACCTCCAACTGGGTAATGTTCCCACCTTAAGCATCTATATTATCAATACAGTATTTGACCATACTTTCATTACTTACATGGAAGGTATCAAGGAAGAGAAACAATTAATGAAGTAGCAAGCTTTGGTGGGGGAGGGGGGCAGGTAATCACATATTAATATAACTAAAAGGTGACAAAATCCACATAAACTTATAATGACCATCATAATTCAGTCTTCCATGTTTAAAAAAGATGTTTTATTTATTTGGAAGGCAGAGTGATAGAAAGAGAAAGGAGAGACAGAGTGAGAAAGAGATCATACTTCCCCTGGTTTACTCCCAAAATGACCATAACGGCTGGGCCAGGGCAAAGCCAGGAGCCAGGAACCCCATTCGGGTTTCCCACGTGGGTGGCAGGGGCCCAAGTACATGAGCTGCCCTCTGCTGCTTTCCCAGGTGCATTCTCTGGGAACTGGATGGGAAGTGGAGCAGCTGGTACAGGAACCTACACTCCAATATGGGATGCCAGTATTGCAAGAGATGGCTTCACCCACTGCTCCACAACTCCAGGCCCTCCATGAACTTGTTGAAGTACACCTTAGAAGTACAAGACTCTTAGAAGAAAATATAGGCATAAATCTTCACGACCTTGCATTAGGCACAGTCTCTTAGATATGGCATTGAAAGCACAAGAAAAACAAATCAAAAACAACACTGAATGCTATAAAAATTAAAAACATGCATGTTTCAAAGGACAACACCAAGAAAGTAAGAAACAAAAACTTTTTGATAGCGGGGTGGGCATTCAGCCTAGCGGTTCAGCCATCACTTGGGATGCCTGTGTCCCATATTGGAGTGACTGAGCCAAGTGCCAGCTCAGCTCTCAATTCCAGCTCCTCACTGATACAGACCCTGAGAGACAATGGTGCTGGCTCAAGTGCTTGGGCTCCTGCATGTGCCTGGCTTCAGTTCCCACTGGCTTAGGCCTGGACTATGCCAGGCATTTGAGGGAATGAGCCAATGGATGGGAACTCTCTCTCTCTCTTTCTCTCTCTCAAGTAAATAAAATATTTAAAATTTTTTTAAATAAATCTTGAAAATCTTATATCTAAAAAGAGGGCTTATATCTTGAATACATAAAGAACTCTTACAACTCAATGATGGAAAGACAACCCAATTTAAATACGGACAAAGACTCCAAATACACATTTCTCCAAAGAATATATTCAAATGATTGCTAGCACATGTAAATATTCTCAACATTGTTAGTCATCTGGGAAATGCAAACCAGTGTGGTATTGCATCATATCCAAAAGGATGGCTGCAATCAAAGTCACATAAAAATATGGATGTGGAGGGGTAGGCATTGTGGCACAGTGGGTTGAGTTGCCACTGCAGTGCTGGCACTCTGTGTGAGTGCTGGTTCAGGTCCCGGTTTTCTGCTTCCGATCCAGCTCCCTGTTAATGTGCCTGGGAAAGCAGTGGAGGGTGCCCCAAGTTCTTGAGACCCTGCACCCACATGGGAGGCCCAGATGAAGCTCCTGGCTCCTGGCTTTGACTCGGCTCAATCAGGGCCACTGTGGCAATTTGGGGAATAAACCAATGGACAGAAGACCTCTCTCTCTCTCTGTAACTCTGCCTTTGAAATAAAATAAATCTTTGAAAATAAAATAAGGATGTAGAAACACTGGAACCCTTATATACTGCTGGTGGAAATGTCAAATTTTTCTGCTACTTTGGAAAATAGCTTGATAATTCCTCAAAAAGTTAAACAAAGGGGCTCACATTATGACACAGTGGGTTAAACTTGTGACACTACAGCCCATATTGGAGTACCAGCTCTGCTTCCAATCCAGCTCCTTGCTAATGTACCTGAGAAAGCACTAGAAGATGGCCCAAGTACTTGGGTGGCCCCTGCCACCCACATGGGAGACTTGGATAGAGTTCTTGGCTCCTGACTTCATCCTGGCCCAGATGTGGCTATTGTGGCTATTTGGAGAAGAACCAGCAGAGGAAAAATATTTCTTTCTTTCTCTCTCTCTCTCTCTCTCTCTCTCTCTCTCTCTCTTTCTGGCTTTCAAATAAATCTTTAGAAAATAAAAATGTTAAACACATGCATTTACATATGACCCAGCAATTTCACTGTTAGGTGAATACCCCAGAAAAATGAAAATATCCAAACTTGCATCTACATGTAGAACACTCACAGCAGGGGCTGGAGTTGTGGCGTAGTAGAACTAGCTTCTGCCTGCGGTGCCGGCATCCCATATGGGCACTGGTTTGATTCCTGGCTGCTCCACTTCCAATCCAGCTCTCGGCTAATGGCCTAGGAAAGCAGTGGAAGATGGCCCAAGTGCTTGGGCCCCTGCACCCATGTGGGAGATCCAGAAGAAGCTCCTGGCTTCTGGCTCCTGGCTTCAGATTGGCCCAGCTATGGCCATTGTGGCCAGCAGAAAAAACAAAAAACAAAAAACAAACAAAAAAAACAAACCTTCACAGCACATTCATTGAGTGGCAACAATCCAAATGTCCATCATCTGATGAATTAACAAATTAATTGCGTCCTGACCACATGCTGACAAGAAGGACTGAAGTCTTCCTACATTCCTACATGTCCCAACAAGATGAACCTTGGAAAACAGGATGCTAAGAGGAAGAGGCAGCCAGCAAAGACCATGGCCCCTTGATGTCCCTGCTGTCCTGGCCCGGGGTGGGCAAATCTGTAGAGACAGGAAGTAGACTGGGGATTGGGAGGGTAGGCAATGGGGTATAGATTTCCTTTTTGGGGTGATGGAAATGTTCTCAGATCGGTTGTGGCCATGGTTGCACAACCGTGGGAGTACACTCAACAGCATCCAATGGTATACCCCGCATAGCTGAATTATATGGTGTGTGCATTATTATAATTCAATAAACCTGGAAGAATAAAACTAGACGAACAAGCCACATATTCCACTCCCCTACTGTCCTCCCACAGGCAGTGGTAGGGGATGTGGAGGTGCTGGGCGGCAGCCTGTGAGGGGCCGAGGGGAAGGTGGGACATGGAGACCAGGGGGTCGGGCTCCGCCAGCGGGGTCGGGGGCGGGGGGACGAGGTTAATGCCAGCTGAGGCTCGCAGGACGCTGTGTGCCGTCTGTGCGGGTTACCAGTGACCTCCAGGGGGCGCAGGGACTCGGGCTGGGGAGAGGAAGGACCCACGGACCTGCGGCAGCCACTTCTGCGCCTTTTTGCCTACTGAGTGTACGGCAGATAGGGGTAGCAGACCCAGGGTTTTGCTGGGGGGGATCCTGGCAAGCCGGGTGAGTCCCCTGCAGGTGCCTCACTGGCCCGAACTCCCTCCCCATGCGTGCGCTGCCCTCTCACGCCGAGGGTGATCCTGACCTTGGAGAGGGGCTCCTGGTCACCCCAGACCTCCTCCTGCATGTAGTACATATCCGACTGCGGCGGTGACGGCAGCGAACTCTTGCCCAAGGCCAGTGGGTCGAGGGTCGCCAGGAGCCGATCCTGACGCGCCTCCGGTGTGGACATCTTGAAGCCGCCGAAAGTTCGCACCAGGGTCACCAGAGGCATCCTGCGGTGCGAGCTGTCAGGGCCCAAGGGCTTCTTCCAGTCCTCACCCATGGTTTCCCGGCAGCCCGGCCGCCGGAGGCCGCCCACTCGCAGACCAGGCCGTCCACCCACAGACCTAGCTGGGAACGGCGGCGCCACGCGCCACGCCCACAGCCACAGCCGGCCCTTTGAGACCACGTGCTGCCCAGGGCCTGGCGGCCTCCACCTGGCAGTAGTGCACATGAGGTTGCTCAGAGCAGGAACCCAGGGCTGCAGGGCGGGGTCCTGGAGCCGTGTGACCCAGGCCCCCTCTGGCCGCAGACACACAAGAGTGACACCTTCCGCGAGGGGCTAAGGGCCCTGGCTGTGTGCTGCTCGCCTGCTTCCCTGCGGCCACCAGCATGGCAGAGGGAGGAGCCTCACGGCCAAGGCCAACCCAGCAGGCAGGTGCGCCTCCCTCCCACGCAGTCCCTCGGTGAGTCTCACTGCCCTCCGGGGGACGCAGTTCTTCAGAACAAAACCAGAGAGCACAGGCGTCACTTCTGAATACTTTTGGAAGTTCCAGGAAATTTTTTCAAAAATCGAGAAGAAAATAGAAAACTTCCACTTTAATTAAACTGTTCAGGCTGAGTCTTTTCCTCTGACACTAACCGAAGTTAAAAATAGAAATCAATTTCTACAACCTCTCAGGGCAGCCTTTGAAATGTCAGGGTTTTAAAAATTATTTTACAGCAGGAATTTACATATAAATACAATCTGTACAATGTATTAACTGAACAACCAGCAAGCTTCCATCAGGCAGATCTGATGCTGGGCCCGGCCAGGGCAGGTCAGAATTCATTCACTGCCTCCTTAGGGGAAGACATTTCAGCCTGGAAAAGAAAAAAGAAAGGGAGGGGAAGGAAAGTGAGACAGGACCTGGAAAACCAAAGCCCTCCATGAGTGCCGAGTAGACCAGACACCACCTCACAGCACCTGTAGAACACGGGGTGACCACCTAGGATGAAGCACTGCTTAATCCGTGGTGTTTTAAAGATGTGTTTAATTATCTGAAAACAGAGTGACAGAGAGAGAATCTTCCATTCATCCCCAAATTCCTGCAGTATCTGGAGCTGGGCCAGGCTGAGGCCAGGCACCAGGAACTCTGGGGGAACCAGGTACTTGTGCCATCATCCCCTGCTACCCAGGAAGCTGGATCAGAAGCAGAGGCAGGACTCAATCCCAGGCTCCAATGTGGGATTCGGGCACCCCCAGTGGCCGTCTATCTCACTGCACCACAACGCCTGCCTTTAATGCTCCTTCTGTTACCTCCAGAGCACACACACAACCCTCCTCACCCACATCGAGTATTAGGGACAATTTATAAAGGCAAAATTCCAATTACAATTTCACTCACCTACTTCAACCATTGTAAGAGGGTGATTCAGAAAGTTCGTGGAAAATGGAATTAAAAGATAAGTTTACTTAGGTGCAGAATTTTTGAAGCTGGTGCAGCTGCTGCTTGAGATGCCCACAGCCCATGTTCCATTTCGAGTCCCAGCTACTCTGCATTGAGGACCAGCTTCCTGCTGATGCTCCAGGGCGGCAGCAGATGATGGCCCAAGTACACGGGTTCCTGAAACCCACAGGAGACCCAGATGGAGTTCCAGAGTGCTGGTTTTAGCCTGACCTATCCTCACCTAGCCCTGGCTGTGGCAGGCATTGGGGAAGTGAATCAGTGGATGAAAGATGTCTCCCCCTCCCTCTCTCTGTCACTCTGCCTTTCAAATAAGGTAAATAAATCCACTACTCTCATCAGATGCCAGATCAATGGGCTCTACCAATCTTGGACTTGAACTTCTAAAACTGTAGGCTGTAAAAAAAAAAAAACCTTCTTAAGTAGCTTTCCTTAGATATCATAGTGACAGTGACAAAAAGCTGACTAAACCAAGGGACACAGCCACTCTGAATAGCCACTTGGCAGTATTTATGCATTAAATATGCTCACTCCCTAAAAACTGATGGTACATAAAGTTACATCATTTACATTAATAATGTACACAAAAATATGTGTATATGTATGGATGTGTGTGTACTCATATGTTTGCATGGATGTGTGATTGCAGAAAAAAAGTCTGGAGGGCTACATATGAGACTGATGGCAGAGGCTACTGTGCAGAAAGGAGAGGTGTGAATTGGCCAAGGGCTACTTGAAGCTCTTTGAGGTCTGGATTTTCATAATGGTGAGATATTCACATACTGTTATGTAATTAAGTATTAATTTTTTAAAAAACCTGTCAATCCACAAGTTTCCCATTTCTGAATTTGCCTCTAAGCAAATATATCAAGTATTCAGTAAGCCTCTGAAAGGCTCCTGGGAATCCCACCCTCCCCGGGGCCTACCGTCTCAGCAGCTCCTGGGGTGACAGGTCAGGGGCTCCTTCATCGTCACTCGAGCTGTCACTGCTGTCTGTACTCTCAGAACTGCTATTTTTCTCTGATTTTTTACTCTTTTGCTTGCCTTTGTGTTTGTGTTTCCTGTGTTTCTTTTTCTGTAGGAAGAAAAAAAAAAGGTGGCAGCAGTAGGATTAACAAATAGGTGCTTTCTTCCCTAATGCAGTACAGTAAGTGGCTAAGCGAGGCATTCGGTTGCTACAGTCATTCAAACACAAATCACAAAGCCTCACGCAGAGTGAGTGTCAGCAGCCCCTCCCCCCACCCCCAAGAGGAAACTGCAGAAAGTGAAGGACCAGCACACACGGTGGTGAGAATGAGTGGGACTTGTTTTCGAACCTGTCAGCACTCAGTTTTTTCCTTTCACTACACTCAGGAATTCTTTCTTCTGGCAGCTGACAATGGAGCTGCTCCTAATCTCTTCACCAAAGCCCAGATCAACAACAACATTAACCTCATTCCATGCCTGCCCCTGGTCCAGAAGAAGACAAGGGTGATGAGATAAGAGATGTCAAAAAGCACACACTGTGTATTAGAGTCTACTTCACTTCAAATGGCAAGCTATGCACTGAGTGAGATGTCAACTTGTAATAAAGACGAAGTCTTCAGAAATGTTCAAAATAATCCCTTCATCTACTGTGGAGTGTTTTATTAGGTTTTAAATTTTCTATTTACTTAGTTTATCTATTTGAAAGGCAGAGAGAAAAAGAAAAAGATACAGAGATAATTCCTATCTGCTGGTTCACTCCCCAAACACCTGCAACAGCCAGGACTGGGCCTGGCTAAAGCCAGGAGTGTGGAACTCAATCCAGGTCTCCTATGCAGGTGGCAGGGACCTAACTGCTCATGCCATCATCCGCTGTCCTGTCTAGGATATGCATTAGCAAGAAGCCAGAACACAGCAGAGATGGGACTCAAACCCAGGCACTCCAATATGGAATGCAGGTGCCCCAAGTATGCCTTAACCGCTACGCCAAATATGCACCCTTATTGGATTACTTTTTTTCATATTACTCCTTTATTAGAAACTGTAAATAAGAAATTATTTCAACACCCGAAGACCAAACCAAAACAGAAGATTCTATAGGCTCTTTGGAAAGAGTTTTCTGTGAAGCATATCCTTTCTGTGGCATGGCAACATCTTTCTTCTTTGAAAAGGTTACTAGGGCCGGCGCCGCGGCTCACTAGGCTAATCCTCCGCTTAGCGGCGCCAGCACACCGGGTTCTAGTCCTGGTTGGGGCGCCGGATTCTGTCTCGGTTGCCCCTCTTCCAGGCCAGCTCTCTGCTGTGGCCCGGGAGTGCAGTGGAGGATGGCCCAAGTGCTTGGGCCCTGCACCCCATGGGAGACCAGGAGAAGCACCTGGCTCCTGGCTTCGGATCGGCACAGCGCCAGCCGTAGCGGCCATTTGGGGGGTGAACCAACAGAAGGAAGACCTTTCTCTCTGTTTCTCTCTCTCTCACTGTCTAACTCTGCCTGTCAAAAAAAAGAATGAGTATGGTAATTTTCCACAGTGAGATGACCACTGTTATCAAAAGCTCTGGATTTGTAAACATTTTATCAAACACATTGTGAAAACTGGCAGCTTCTAAAACCCAATCTATGAGGATTGAATTTGTTTTTTTTTCTTTTTTTTTTTTTTTTTTTTTTTTTTTTTTTTTTTTTTGACAGGCAGAGTGGACAGTGAGAGAGAGAGACAGAGAGAAAGGTCTTCCTTTTGCCGTTGGTTCACCCTCCAATGGCCGCCACGGTTGGCGCGCTGCGGCCGGCGCACCGCGCTGATCCGATGGCAGGAGCCAGGAGCCAGGTGCTTTTCCTGGTCTCCCATAGGGTGCAGGGCCCAAGCACCTGGGCCATCCTCCACTGCACTCCCTGGCCACAGCAGAGGGCTGGCCTGGAAGAGGGGCAACCGGGACAGAATCCGGCGCCCCTACCGGGACTAGAACCCGGTGTGCCGGCGCCGCTAGGCGGAGGATTAGCCTAGTGAGCCGCGGCGCCGGCCTGAAGATTGAATTTGAATCTGAAATAATGATGCAGCCAAATTTATCCTTATTCTTTCTTTTTTTTTTCTTTTTCTTTTTTTTTTTTTTTTTTATTTTTTGACAGGCAGAGTGGACAGTGAGAGAGAGAGACAGAGAGAAAGGTCTTCCTTTGCCGTTGGTTCACCCTCCAATGGCCGCCGCGCTGCGGCTGGCGCGCTGCGCTGATCCAAAGCCAGGAGCCAGGTGCTTCTCCTGGTCTCCCATGGGGTGCAGGGCCCATGCACTTGGGCCATCCTCCACTGCACTCCCGGGCCACAGCAGAGAGCTGGCCTGGAAGAGGGGCAACCAGGACAGAATCCGGCGCCCTGACCGGGAGCAGAACCCGGTGTGCCGGCGCCGTAGGCGGAGGATTAGCCTATTGAGCCGCGGGGCCGGCCTCTTATTCTTTCTGATAAAGGTGAAAAGCTCCACCATCCCTGGAGTGAAAGGTATTGATGTAACTGCTTTTTCATTTCATTTTCTCCTATAACTTCATCTCCCAAATACTTAAAAACTCTGTCCATAAATTCTGTCTAAAATCTTTTTTTGATAAGAATCTTGTAGTTCAACAGGAAGCTTTCTGTTTGGAGCACACTGTTCAATCCAGGTGTCACTGTTGTCATCTATGATTGTATTGTGAAAAATCAAAAACCAGTAAAATTTTCATGGTTCCAGGAACAGACTGAATTGCCCCAAATTAGCATTTCCAAGACAATTAACCTTACTTCCGCCTAGAACTTAGGTTAAACAGCCATGACAATCTTCAGCTTTAAACACCACCCAGTTGTTTTTAAACATGAAGCCTATTCTATATGTAGAGAACGAAATCTTCTGCTGTGGAGCCAAGGAAAGGAAGATTCTGAACTCCAGCATTATTACGGCAGCACACCTGAGAGAAATCCAGGAAGGAATGGCAGCAGCAGATCGCACCTCACCGGCCTGGGCTTGGTGCTGGCAGCCGCCTGCCCGCCGTGCAGCTGCTGCGCCTTTGGGGCTCCTGGGCACCCCAGTGGATTCCTTAATACTCCACTCTTTCTCTAAAATACTTCCATGCCCCTTTTCTTACCTTTTAATGTCCACAAGTTTTTGTTTTTTTTTTTTAAAGTACAGTTGAACAAATTAAAGTATTCTGTTCAGCCTCCATTTACAGCAGGAAGATCTCAAATAAACAACATACCACTATCCCTCAAGGAACTGGCAAAACAAGAACAAATCAAATCCAAAATTCGCAGGATAAGAGAAATAATAAAACTCAGAGCAGAAATAAATAAAATAGAGACTAAAAAACAATGCAAAAACAATGAAATGAAGAGCTGGTTTTTTTGAAAAGATAAACAAAATTGATAAACTCTCAGCTAGACTAATAAAAAAGAGAGAAAATTCAAACACATAAAATCAGAGACAAAAAATTGGAGCTGGCGTTGTGGCATAATGGGTTAAGCTGCGGCTTGCAGCACTGGCATCCCATATGGACACTGGTTCCAGTCCCAGCTGCTCTACTACAGATCTAGCTCCCTGCTAATGCACCTGGGAAAGCAGCCAAAGATGGTCCAAGTCCTTGGGCCTCTACACCCACGTGGGAGACCTGGAGGAAGCTCCTGCTATTGTGACCGCTTGGGGAGTGAACCAGTGGATGGAAGATCTCTATCTTTCCCTCTTTCTCTAACTCTTCCTTTTAAATGAATAAATAAATCTTAAAGAGAGAGAGAGATGGAAATTTTTTAATGGAGACATTATGACTAATACCATAGAAATATAGATTGTTAGAAACTACTGTGAACAAGTACATGGCAACAAATTGAAGAACAGAAATAGACAAATTCCCAGCACATAAACATACCAACATTGAATCATTAGTAAATAAGATACCTAAATACACTAATAACAAGAAGCAAGATTCAATCCGTAATTTTAAAAAAGTCTCCCATCAAAGAGAAGCCCAGATGGCTTCACTACTGAATTCTACCCAACATTTAAAGGAGAATTAATGTTGATTCTTCTTCAACTATTTATTTACTTTTTTAATTTTATTTATTTATTTGAAAGGTAGAGTGAGAGAGGGAGAGACAGAGACAGATTTTCCATCCACCCACTAGTTCACTCCCCAAATACTTGCAACAGCTGGGGCCAGGCCAGGCCAAAGCCAGGGGCCAGGAACTCCATCCAAGCGGGAACCCAAGTACTTGGGCCATCACCTGCTGCCTCCCTGGTGCATTACTTGCAGGAAACTAAACTAGAGGCACAGAATAGTCAGGGTACGGGATACGGGCATCCCAAGAAGTGACTTAACCTCCTGTACCACAACATCTACTTCCTTAAACTATTTCAAAAAGTAGAGGAGGAAGGAATTCTTCCAAAGTCATTCTATGAGGCCACAATTATCTTGATACCAAGACCAAAGACACAACAAAAAAGAAAACTACAGACCAGTTTCCTTGATGAACAAAATACTAGCAAACTGAATTCAGCAACATATTACAAAGACTATTGACTATGATTAAGTGGGATTCACCACAAGGATGCAAGGATGATTCAACATATGCAAACTAATAAACATGATACAACACAGCAACAGAAAGAAGGACACAAATGACATGATCAGGCATTCAATAAAATTCAAAATACCATCAGGATAAAAAACTCAGACCAAATTAGGTGTAAAAGGAACACATCTTAACATAATAAAGGCCATATACAACAAGCCAACAGCTAATATTACAATGAATGGAGAAAAACCAAAGGTTTTCTAAGATCTGAAACAGGACAAGGATCTCTATTTTTGTCATATGTATTCAACACAGTACGTCAGGGTCCTAGCCAGAGCAACCAGGCAAAAGAAAGAAAGAAAGAAAGAGCATCCAAATAAAGAACAGGGGAATCAAACTGTCACTGTTCACAGGTGACAAGATCTTCTATACTAGAAACCCTGAAGACCACACCAAAAAGCTGTTAGGACTAATACATTCAGCAAAATTATAGGATACAACGTCCACATACAAAAATCAATAGTGTTGTTATACAGCATCTTTTTCAGTCATCTGAAAAAGAACTCAAAAAAACAATCCCATTTCCAATAGCTACCAAAACAAAACAAAACAACCAACAAACCTAGGAATAAATTTTACCGAAGAGGTAATGAAAGAAAATTGATGAGACATGTTATAAGACATAAGAAGTAGAAAGACATCCTGTGAACTGGAAGTGCACATTCATGCACTGGAAGAATCCATATCACTAAAATGTGTATAATACTTAAAGTGGTTTACAGATGCAAAGCAATCCCCATCAAAATCCCAATGATATTTTTCACAAAACATATGGAACCACCAAAACTCCAAATAGCTGCAGCAATTTTGAGCAAAAATAACAAAGCAGGAGGCATCAAACTACCTGACTTTAAAAATTACAAAGCAACAATAATTAAAATAGCATGTAACTGGCCGGCGCCGTGGCTCAATAGGCTAATCCTCCGCCTTGCAGCGCCAGCACACCGGGTTCTAGTCCCGGTCAGGGCACCGGATTCTGTCCCGGTTGCCCCTCTTCCAGGCCAGCTCTCTGCTGTGGCCAGGGAGTGCAGTGGAGGATGGCCCAAGTGCTTGGGCCCTGCACCCCATGGGAGACCAGGAGAAGCACCTGGCTCCTGGCTTCGGATCAGTGCGATGCGCCGGCCACAGTGCTCCAGCCGCGGCGGCCATTGGAGGGTGAACCAACGGCAAAAAGAAGACCTTTCTCTCTCTCTCACTGTCCACTCTGCCTGTCAAAAATTTAAAAAAAAAATATATATATATATATAGCATGTAATTGACATTAAAACAGATCCATAGACCAATGGAACATACATCTTCAGCCAACTGATCTTTGACAAAAGTGCTGAGAACATACATTGGAAAAAGGAAGTCTTCAAACAGTGTGGGGGAAAGTGGATTTCCACATACAGAATAAACCTAGACCCCTATCTCACACCAAGTACAAAAATCAACTCAAAATGGATTAAAAACCTAAATATGGGGTAGGCATTATGTGTGTTAAGTTGCTACTGGGGATGTTCACATTCCATAACAGAGTGCCAGTTCAAGTCCCTGCTATTCTACTTCCAATCCAACTTCCTGCCAATACACCTCGGAAGGCAGCAAATCATGGTCCAAGTACTAGGGTCCTTGATCCAGATGGATCCCAGGCTCCTGGCTACGGCCCAGCCCTGGCTGTTATGGGCCTTTGGGGAATGAACCAGCAAATGGAAGATCTCTCTCTCTCTCTCACTGTTTTTCAAATAAGTAAATGTATACATACATAAAAAGACCTAAATATAAGACCCAAAACTTTGAAAAAACTAGAAGAAAACAGGGAAAACATTTTAGGACATTGGAATGGGCAAGGGTTTTCTGGATCAGACTCCAAAAATACAGGAAATAAAAGCAAAAATAGACAAATGAGATTTCATCAAACTAAAGAGCTTCTGTACAACATCAGGAAACAATAAAGAGACAACCTAGAGAATGGGAAAAAATATTTGCAAGCTATACATCTGCAAGGAGCTAATATCCAGAATATACAAGGAAATCAAACAACTCAACAGCAAAAAGCAAATAATCCAATTTTTTAAAGGACAGTAGACCTAAACAGACATTTCTCAAAGGAAGATACACAAATGGCAACAAGTACGTGAAGAAAAGCTCATCACAAATCACCAGAAAAATGGAGGTCAGAACTACACTGAGACACCACCTCACTCTGGTTGGATTGGCTGCTATCAAAGAGACAAAAGGTGACACAGCACTGGTGAGGATGCGGAGTAAAGGGAACCTGCACACTGCTGGTGGGAGTGTCCATTAGTAGAGCCACTGTGGGACACAGTATGGCGGTTCCTCAAAAAGCTAGAAATAGATCTGTATGATCCAGCAACTCCACTATTGGCTACATACTGAAGGGAACTGAAATCTGTCAGGGACACCTATACTCCCACGTTTATGGCAGCACTATTCACTGCAGCCAAGACCTGGAAACCACCTAAGTGTCCACCCACAGATGAACGGATAAAGAACATGTGGTCTGTATATACAATGGAATGTTACTCAGCCATAGAGAAGCCTGAAATCTTATCATCTACAACAACCTGGATGGAACTGGAGGTCATTATATTAACTGAAATAAGCTATGCACACATCATATGATCTCACTCACATATGGAGTCTAGAAAACAGTGATCTCACAGGAGTTACAAATGTAACAGAGGCCAGGTAAGGAGAGATGGGTAAAAGCTGGTTAGCAGATACTAGGTTATAATTAGTTAGGAGTACAAAGTTCTGGGGCTCTCTTGCAAAGAAGAGTGACTACCGATAATGCTAATGTACTGTATATTTCTGTACAAACAATACGACCTAGGAGATAGGATTTTAGATGTTTTCCCATAAGGAAATATTAAATGTCTGAATAAATTTAAACCATAATTTGAAAATTAAAATATTTCTTTTGCTCTGAAAGATCAAAAAGTTTCTGGAAAATGGAGCATCCACATGGACTGTCACTGTGGGGTGCAGAGAGACTTGTGTGTCTGGCCACAAGACGTCCTCCTCACCCGGCTCTAAGGACCGCTGTGGGCCTCACCGGACGACCGAAGCCGGGGTGACTGACACCCAGCAGTTGCTCACCTTCTCCTTCTTCCGTCTGTGCTCTTTCTTGGGTTTGTGTTTTTCTTTGCTCTTTTTGTGTTTCTCTTTTTGAGGAGCCTCAGGTTTCTGCCGAGCATCTGAAACACGGACGTAATAAACACATGAATTAGAGGGGGAAAAGTAGACTAACTTTTGGAAGCTGCCAGAAACTTCCATATCAGACCATGAGATCCAACCAGCATCCTGCCTTAGCCTATCTTCCAACTGACATCGAATGAAGACAGAGTCAGAAGAATGCCCACAGTCTTTTGCAGTCTGACAGCTCAGGTAAGCACGGAGCTGGACAGACTCTGACCAAGGCTCTACAGCCACCTCCGTGACCTGGGACACCCTGACAACCTCTCCCACTCGGTGTCTCCACCTATAAAATGGGATAGTAGAAACCCCTATCTGCTGAGGGACACAGGAAGGAGACTGAGATGGGACCTTGCACACAAACTCCACGTCCAGAACCTGACACAGCCACGTCAGGTTCTTATCTGATCCTCTCCTTACAAAAACGTGTTTTATAAGAATTTGTCTTATAAGTGGAAACACTAAAATATGAACATCAAAACAACATGATGCTCATGATTATTAAAAATATCCAAAGATATGGCACGTGCCTAGATTCTCCATCTCCAAGTTCAGGCCAAAACGCTCTAGTAGGTCATTAATATGCAGCTGCCAAGTCAACTTTTGCTACCTAAAGGAAAATATCAAGCTGTTCCAGGAGCGTGGACATTTTTCCAAACCTCCAATTTGCTAGTCCTATAGCTAGTCAGATTTTTCAAAATTTGACTTCCTCCAATTTTTGTTTTAATGTTAGTTTTTGGAGAACCCAAAAATAACCTCTAGACCAGACTAAGTTACTATTACGAGGGTATTAAGGACATTCTGGTAAGCGGCCATAAATCACTTAGCTGATATCTATTTTAAACTGAAGAGCGGAACAACCAAAGCAAACGAGAAACACATTCACTGCAAATTTTTAAAACCTCCTACTTATTCTTCACCCCTTTTTATCATCTTCTTGAAAGCCGGGTTAATTAATCAAACCAGTGTTTACATATGGACACGCCAGGAAACAGCAAGGAGGATAATGGGATTATACACTATTTCTGTCTCTGGGCTGTGGGACAGGTATTTGCTAACGCAGCCTTCAGAGAGGTAACAAGCCAGTCTAAACATCTTAGCGTGGGGTGCCAATTTGAGAAGGCACTGGTCGGAAGCTGGTGACAGGGCTGGGGCAGGGACACACTCCTGAGAGGACTAGCTTTACTGGCTGCATTCGCCAAGGCACAGATGTAGACGTGCAGGTGTAAACCCACTGCTGGAGTGGTCCCGGGTCAGAAGAGACACAGCTGACGTGGACAGGCGGGCCCAGAAGCTCTGGACTCACTGGGGCAGAAGACAGGTGGCAGGCGCGGGCCGAACTCCTCCCTTTCATCCATCTGCATCTTCTGTATCGGGAAGGGAGGCGCAGGCTCTCGGGGTGCTGGCTCAGTGGCTGAAAAACAGCAATGCCTTATTTTCATTCACTTGCCCAATAGTAATGTGCTTGAGTCTTTTTTAAAAAAAGACTTATTTTTTTATTTGAAAGGAAGAGTGACAGAGAAAGAGAGAGAGAAATCTTCCATCTGCTGGTTCATTCCCCAGATGGCTCCAACACAGCAGGGATTGTGTCAGTCTGAAGCCAGGAGCCAGGAACTCCATCCTGGTCTTCCACATGGGTGGCACGGACCCAAGTACTTGAGCCACCTTCTGCTGCCTTCCCAGGTGCATTAGCAGGGAGCTGGGTCAGAAGCAGAACAGCCGAGACTCTAAGTGGCACCTAGTGCTAGAAATGACAGCTTAACCTGCTGTACCACAATGCTGGCCCCTGTCTGAATCTTAGTGTCTGTAGCCACCATACAACGTGCGATTTCTTCACTTGGCTTAAGTGAAGCCAGGTGCTGAGGACACGGTAGTGAACTCGGAGAATCCCGTCTCTGCCCGCAGGGACACTTGAAGCTGGGATGTCAATCACATGAGGGCACCCACAGCCACGTGCACCAAGGGCTGTAACACAGGGAGGCAAGGGTGGGTGCCCCAGGGCACATGCTCTGGATCACTAACTGAGACTTCAAGGGCAAAGTGTGTTCCTGAGGAAGGGCCATCTGAGAAGAAATAAAACCGTGCAAATGAACAGGCATGGGTGTAAGATCATGTCCTGTCCCAGAAGCCTGGGGGAGTCAAGCACCACGCAAAATAAATAACCAACAGAAGGAGAACTAAAAATACAAGATCACATTCCTTCTAGATCATTATTTAAACAGATTACTATGTTCACAGACGGAAGAGACATAAAAATGGGAAAAAGAAAAATACACATCAGAGTGTTAACAGTGGCTATTCTTGGTAGATGGGATTAAAGGGGACTTTTTTCTACATTCCTGCACTTTTAAAGTTCAAGTATATGTGTCACTGTAATTAAAAAAAAGTACTTTTTTTTCATAGAAAAAAGAAATAGGGGGCCTATCCTTGTCTGTTGTGGTTACCTCGGGAGTAGCCATCTTTCTCCCCGTACCCCATACCATAATTCTGCCTTTCCAATAAGTAAACAAATCTTTTTTTTAAAGGCAGATACTTGCAATCACCTGAGAAATATTTTATATTTCCAGGTAACTTTTTGGTTAAAGGTCCTCAAAGTATACCCAAGTCCACCACAGTGGGACTGGGCCAGCAGAACACTCCACGACGGGAAACTGTGTCCACCACCAAGGATCTAAACACTCCTCCCTGCCGCCCCACCACTGTGGACACCACACTTCCTTTCCTATGCCTGGAACGCATGGTGGGAATGAACGGAACAAGCAGACAGGCCACGAACCAAACGTGAGACTCACAGTGACAGGAATGGCCCTGTGAGCCACGCCCATCTGATGGTGGGTCCAGAACGGACAGCGTGCCCTTGAGAGTGGAAAGTAGGAGAGGACCCACATACCTCACAACCAAATGCCTTCCAATGGCCCAGCACCTCCTCATCCACAGGTTAAAAAAAAGCTATTTCCTTAAAGGAAAGTTGTACTACTTGTAAATTCTTCTCAACTAGGGTAAGTAAGAAAGTCAATATTATCAAACACCAGAGATTTATGCTAGATAGGAAAAAAAAAAAGAACTTTGCTCCACCCCAATCAAAAACACACAAGATTCTACATCACTGATTGCTAAGTATCCTGGGGTTACCTACCCACACTGAGACACTGACTTACCTGGTTCCACAGAGGACGAGGCCTCCAAGGGCGTCTCTTGGGAACTTTTGACCTCGGCCTCTCCAGTATCCTCCTCATCCTCGCTGTCGCCCTGCTCTTCCTCAGAGGACGAGGACTTCTCATCTGAGGAGCTGGCAAAGATGGCCTTGAACAAGTCCATGGAGGGGCGGCTTCCTTCCCCCTCCGTCTGTGAATCCACAGCTTGGTTTGCCGTCTGCACACAGTGAAGGAAGTGTCAGGGGTGAAGAAGCAGGGCTGGAAGGGCCACATCCACAGGGCCACACTCACACGCCAACGTTCATGTGCACAGCAGTGGGTATCCATGGCCATGCACTCCCTACCCAGACAACCATCACTCACACAGCCTTTATTCTCAAGGTGTTTCTGAATCAAGGAGTGTGGAAGGGGCCAGCTAGGCAGGAGCAGCTGATGCCTCACTGGGAGGTTTGTCATCAATCAAAATTGCAAAGGACCCAGGCAAAGGTGGTGGAGGCCACTGCTTCAGGCCTGGCCTTTGGAAGGCCAATAAGAAGGGGAGGTGGGGGCCAGCACTGTGGCTTAGCAGGTAAAGCTGCCGCCTGCAGTGCTGGCATCCCATACGGGCGCCAGTTCAAGTCCTGGTTGCTCTACTTCTGATCCAGCTCTCTGCTATGGCCTGGGAAAGCAGTAGAGGATGGCTCAAGTCCTTGGGTCCTTGTACCTGCATGGGAGACCTGGAAGAGGCTCCTGGCTCCTGGCTTAGGATAGGCCCACCTCCAGCCACTGTGGTCATTTGGGGAGTGAACCAGCACATGGAAGACCTCTCTCTCTCTGCCTCTGCTTCTCTCTGTAACTGATTTTCAAATAAATAAATAAATCTACCTTTTAAAAAAAGAAGAAGCAGCAGCATGGGGAAGATGGTCTGCTGGTGGGAAATGCTAAAGAGACCACGGTGGGCCTGTATGCAATGGGCAGGGGGCTGGGACACCAGGACAACATGGCCAGAGAACTCTCCTTTGCCCTGACACATCAGCCTCCCTAAAACAGGCCTGGGTTATGGACATTCAGACTAACCCAAGAAAAAGGCAGTAACCCTGTGAAAACTTAATTCAGTAAAGAAGCAGTGAAGGTAAGACGGAGACACGGCTGCTACCCCCTACAGCTTATTACAGGACCCCAGGAGCCACCCAGTCCTCCCTCATTACCAAGATGGTTAGAGATGACAGGTCGCTCTGCCAAAGAGGCACTGGGGCTTTGCACCCAGGGCTGGGACTGGGCTCTGCTGTGCGGTTCTGTGGCTCTTGGCCAGGGGCCACTCCCTGTACACCACCTCTGCTTTCTGGAGCAGAGGGACAAACACCCACATGAGAAAAACTCACTCGAGACAGTGCAATGTGAAGCGTTAAAGGACTTTCTTCACAGAAAAGAAAAGAGGAGAAGTGGTCTTTTTAACTGTCAAGAGTGTGCCCATATCTTGTTTTATAAACACAACTCCCCACTGAAAATAACCAGGGCATCTGGGAGTAAGAAGCGCTTCAGGAGCTGGGACTGGGAAAGGAGCAGAGGAGCCCAACCCGCCTGTGTCCAGAAAGCAAAGCCACACTCAGAGAACAAGAGGAACACATCAGAGGGACTCAGGCCAACATGAAGGGCTCCAAGGAGCCAAGCCTGGGACCATTCGCGCAATGAAAGGACTATCGATAGGACCAGAGTCCTCACTCTGGATGACACAGGAAACCGTGGGTCCACAGGAACAGAGCCCTGACACAGATGAAAGTTCCCACACTGCGACAAAATCCAGGGCCCATATTCATGTCAGAGGGCCTGGTTCAAGCCCTGGCCCCAGCTCCTGTCCTCAGCTTTCCGCTGACGCACACCCTGGGAGACAGCAGTGATAACTAAGTAGTGTAGGGTCCCTGTCACCTGTGTGCGAGACTTAGACTGAATTCTTGGTTCCCAGCTCTGGGTCTCTGGCCATTGAGGATATCTGGGGAGTGAATCAGTAGACGGGAACCTGTACCTACTCTCTCTCTTTCAAATTAAAAATAATAATAATAATAATTAAGTATAAGCAATTAATACATCAAAGGACTTAGTAATTACAAAGGGAAAAGACTGATTTTATAGCTGGAGAACCTGGCAGATACCACCTTCCTCAGGTGATCAGTGAGCCTCAGTGAGGGGCACCTGACAGGATGTGACAAGACCACAGCACCCCTTCTGATGTTTTACTGCCAAAGACACAGCCCTGAATCGAACCCTGAGGAAGCAGCAGATAAGCCCAAACTGAGGGACATTGCACAAAGTACTGGCCTGTAATCTTTAAAAGCCCCCGGAGCCAGCACTGTGGCATAGTGGATAAAGCCGACACATGCAGTGCTGGCATCCCACATGGGCACTGGTTCAAGTTCCGGCTGCTCCACTTCCGATCCAGTTCTCTGCTGTGGTCTGGGAAAGCGGTAGAAGATGGCCCTGGTTCTTGGGCCTTGCACCCACATGGGAGACCCAAAGGAAGCTCCTGGCTCCTGGCTTTGGATCAGCACAGCTCCAGCTGTTGCAGCCATCTATCTGGGGAGTGAACCAGCAGATGGAAGACCTCTGCCTCTCTCACTCTCTGCTTTTCAAATAAATAAATAAATCTTTAAAAGCCCCAAGACCATGAAAAAAATCAGAGACAGATGGGGGAATTATTCCAGACTGGAGAGAGGTGACAGCCAAGCGCAACAGATGGTGTGCAGCATCATCCTTAGCACTGTGAAGGACACCATCAGGACTTGACAGGTCTCGGGGTAGGCAGCAGTGAGGCTTCTGATTCTGACGGACACGCCGTGGTTACACAGGAGGAGGTGCATCTGTGACAGAAGCACAGGGGTCACGGCGCCCAGCTGGCAACTCGTGCTCAAGTTGGTCAGGGAAAACAAAATCTGAACCGCATTTAAACTTCTGAGATTGTTTCAAAAAATTAATTACACAAAGAAGGAGAGAGAGGGAGAGGGTCTGACAGTGAATCACAGGAAATAATGGCAACAGCTGAAGAAAAGTCATGACTCTGACGTCTTTATGGCATGCCACAGACTTTCTGGCCTTTCACGGTGTCTTTAACAGGAAATGCAGAGGCAGAGTCTCACGCACACATGAGCTGTTCGACTCCCAGATACACCCGGAGCTGATCCTTTTCCTTTCTTTCTTTCCAGAGTAGAAAAGACTTACACTAGAATTAAACAACAATATGCAGCAAACACATTAAGTTCTGCATTTGCAAAGCCTCCTCAGAACCCCCTCACGTTCCACTAATAGATGGGCACATTCACATTTGCAATGACTCAGAAAGTTTTCAAGAAGGAAATTAGATAATCCAGAGGGGAAGAGACCTTGTTAAAGTTACATGAAAGGAAATGAAAGAGAAGCAAGACTTTTTACAGGCATACAATACAAAAATATTACCTCAATGAGATTTTTGACACACTACCATTTGGGATGCTCACAAGTAGTTTGAGTCCCAGCTACTCTACGTTTCTGATCCAGCTTCCTGGTAATGCACCTGGGAGGCAGTGGATGATGGCCAAGTCTTTGGGTTCCTGCCACCTCCATGAGAAACCCAGATGGAGTTCCTGCCTCCTGGATTCAGCCTGGCCTAGCCCTAGCTGTTGTGGGCTTTTGGGGAATGAAGCAGCATATGTAAGACCTTTCTCTCTGTCACTCTGCTTTTCAAATACATAAATAAATCCTAAAATAATAATAATAATAATAATAAAACCAATGGGCTGGTTCTAAACGTGGTGGTGGGGGTGGTGGCAATAGCTGCCAGGCCAAAAATCTAAAACTCTAAGTGGAGGTTCTTTTCTATGACCCTAGGAGCCATGGTCCCAACAGTCTGGAGTGAATCCCACTGCTTTTCCCTCCATTTTTGCCTACCTGCCATTTAACTCCAGACACAGATAAAGTAGCGGGAGTGCAAGGCAGTCTGGAAACTGAAGTCCCAGCTTTTGGAAGACATGCAGGGGGAGCCCCAAGGGTCAGAAAATACCATGCATATCTCAAGGAGCTGTAGAGAGTGCTCCTTCAAAGGGGTTTGTGAACTGTGGCTAGCCCCTAAGCCATGAAGGCAGGAATCTGACTCTGAACAACAAGGCAAAGCATCCCGTAGCAGCAGTGTGGGACTAATTTCCACCAGGGTCCCAAACCAGCCAGTGTGGCGTGCACGCCCTAGACAGGCATGGACAGTGCTACACAGGCTCTGAAAACTGAGATGACGTTAGAACCACAGCCAGGAGGGTGGGCTGGGCCTTACAGTTGGGCTGACTGTCTGCTAGGGCAAAACCAACCAAATTAGCAACACTCTCTCCAGAATTTAAACAAGGCCCAGGCTCTCATAAAAATATTCAGAATGCCCGGGATGCTCCAAAATTACTTGGTAGACAAACAACAAGGGAAAAAAATGTCAACTTGCAAAAGACAACAAACAGATATCAACCCTGAAATGACAAAAATCTTGGAATTATCAACGACTTGAAAGTCTCTTTGTTCCAAGAATATGGGCCAATGAAGAAAAGGCCTCATAAAGGAAACAGAAGACATAAAGAAGAACCAAATGGAAATAGTATTTAATTTCATTTCACTTGAAAGGCAGAGAGACAGAAAGACAGAGACCTTTCATCCGCTGGGGTTCACTCCCCAAATACCCACAACAGCCCGGACTGAGTGAGGCTGAAGCCAGGAGTCCAGAACTCACTATGAGTCTCCCGCATGGGTGGCAGGCACCATCATCACCTGCTGCCTCCCCAGGTGCACAATACCAGGAAGCTGGGTCAGGAGTAGCCAGAACTTGAACCAGGGACTCCTGGATTGTGGAATGTGGGTGTCCCAAGTAGCGATTTAATCTCTATGCCAAATGCCCACCTTAAAATGGAAATTTTAGACATGAAAAATACAGTAAGCAAAACTGAAACTCATTGTGTGGGCTCTCAGAAGGGAGGTGACCCTGGAAAGAGGTAGAGAACTTACAAAAAAAAAAAAAAAAAAGAATGGAAATTATCTGATGTAAACTTTAAGAGGGGTAGAAAACAGACTGAAAAAATTAACAGTCCTGTGGGACAATACCAAAATGCCTAACATTTTATTTATGCCATCAAAATCCCAGAAGGGAAGTTAGGGTGTGGTGCAGAGGGAAAAAAAAGAAAAAGAATGACCAAAAATGTCCCAAATTTGGTGAAAGATAAATTCAGAGATTACAGCAGCTCAGCACACCCCAGACAAAATAAGCCCAAAAACATCTGCACCCAGAAGCTTTATAATCAAACAGCTAAACCCAAGGGCAGAAAGCAGCCAGAGGAAAACTCATCTTAGCACATAGATGGATGACTGCAGACTTCTTGTCAGAAACCATGGAGACCAGGGATGGAGAGTTTCTCTCCCTGTATCTGTCCCTCTCTGCCTTTCAAATAAATACTAAATCTTTAAAAATATAAATTAATTTTTTTTAAAACCCAATAAGGACCAGAATTCTGTTACAGTGGATTAAACCACTGCCTGTGATGCCAGCATCCCATATCAGAGTGCTGGTTCGGGACCCAGCTGCTCTACTTCCAATCCAGCTCCCTGCTAATGCACCTGGGAAGGCAGCAGAAGATGGCCCAAGTGCTTAGAACCTGCACCCATGTGGGAGACCAGGATGGGGTTCCTGGGCCCTTGCTTAAGCCTGCCTAGTCCTGAATGAACTAACAGATGGAGGATCTCTTTCTCTCTTTCTCTCTCTCTCTCTCTTCCCTCCCTTCCTCCCTCTCTTTCTCTCTGATGGTCTACCTTTTAAATAAAAACTTTTTAAAAAGTTAAGAAGACCCAATGACATGTCATTTATAAGAAATCCTCCTGGGGCCCGCGCTGTGGCATAGAGGGTAAAGCCGCAGCCTGCAGTGCTGGCATCCCATATGAGTGCTGGTTCAAGTCCTGGCTGCTCCTCTTCCAATCCAGCTCTCTGCTATGGCCTGGGAAAGCAGTAGAAGATAAACCAGGTCCTTAGGTCCCTGCACCCATGTGGGAACCTAGAAAAAGCTCCTGGCTCCTGGCTTCTGATCAGCTCAGCTCTGGCTGCTGCAGTCATTTGGGAAGTGAACCAGTGGGTGGAAGACCTCCCTCTCTCTCTGGCTCTACCTCTTTCTGTAACTCTTTCAAATAAATAAAATAAGTCTTCAAAAAAAAAAAAAAAAAGAAATCCTTCTGTGAGGCTGGCACGGTGGTATAGTAAGTCACGCATCTGCCTGCAGGGTCGGCATCCCATATGGGCACCAGTTTGAGTGCCAGGCTGCTCCACTTCCAATCCAGCTCCCTTCTGATGGCCTGGGAAAGCAGTAGAAGATGGCCCAAGTGCTTGGGCCCCTGTACCCACATAGGAGACCCAGAAGAAGCTCCTGACTCCTGGCTTCGAATCGACCCAACTAGCAGATAGAAGACCTTTCTCTCTGTCTCTCCTTCTTTCTAATTCTGCCTCTCAAGTAAATAAATGTCTTAAAAAAAAAAAAAAAAAAAGAAAGAAAGAAAGAAAAGAAAGAAATACTCTTGTACTTATTGGAATAGAAGGGTAAAAAGCAAAAAGATGCATAAATATTTACTATGTAAAAACTAAACAAACAAAAAAACCCATCAGGGATAGAGTGATATTAGATAATGAAAAAGAGGTCAATTCATCAGAAATAAATGTGTATGCACTCAAGAAGAGAGCTTCAAAACATGAAACACAAGTAACTCTAGAAATAGTTTGGCAGTTTCTTATAAAGTTAAACATATCTGTATATGAGGGTTCTTCAGAAAGCTTATTGAGGGGGGCTGGTGCTGTAGTGTATTAGGTAAAGCCACCATCTGCAGAACACCAGCATCCCATGTGGGCGCTGTTTCGAGGCCCAGCTGCTCCACTTCTGATCCAGCTCTCTGCTAACATGCCTAAGAAAGCAGCAGAGGAAGGCTCAAGTGCTTGGGCCTTTGTATCCATGTGGGAGACCTGGAAGAAGCTCCCAGCTCCTGGCTTCGGCCTGGCCCAGCCCTGGTCATTGCGGCCATTTGGAGAGTGAACCAGCGAATGGAAGTTCTTTCTCCTCTCTTTCTCTTTGTCTCTTGCTCTCTCACTGTAGCTCTTGAAATCGTTAAAAAAAAAAAGTGGAGGACACTGTCATCAAAAACTAGGGGGCTGGCGCTGTAGTCCAGTGAGTTAAAGCCCCGACGTGTAGTGCTGGTATCTCATAAGGGCATTAATTCAAGCCCCGGCTGCCCCACTTCCAATCCAGCTCCCTATTGGTGTACGTGGGGAGGGCAGCAGAGGATGACCCAAGTCCCTGGGCCCCTGCCCAAGGGGTGGGAGACCTGGAAGAAGCTCCTGGCTCCTGGCTTTGGATCAGCTCAGCTCCAGCTGTTGTGGCTACTTGGGGAGTGAACCAGAGGATAGAAGACCTCTCTTTCTCTATCTCTACTTTTCTCTGTAACTCTTTCAAATAAATAAAAATAAATCTAAAAAAAAAAAAAAAAAAAGGCAGAAACCATGAACAGATTTCAAAAATGTTTGCAGCAAAATAAACTCTCAGCTCCATTTTCCATGAATTCTCTGGAGGACTCTGATTTTATTCAGCAATCCAACTACAGGTATTTATTCTAGAAAAATGAAAACATGTTTACACAAAAACTTGCCTATGAATTCTCCTCACAGCTCTATTTGTGATAGTCAAATGCTGGAAATAACCTAAATGTCCTTACAGGGTGTATGGGTCAACAAACTGTTGCACATTCATACCATGAAGTACCACCCAGCAATAAACAGGCATGCACCACACACACACAGCCCTGCTGTATTTCAAAGGCAGGATGCTGCATAAAAGACATCAGTTTCATAAGACTGTGTACGGACATTTGTAACATTCTGGAAAAGGCAGAACTACAGAGACAGAGAACACACCATCAGTAGTTGGCAAGGGTCTGCAGCCTGGGCATGGGATGACTACAAAGGGATAGTGAGGGGTTTGGGGGCGATGATAACACTGCACCTGGACCATGGTGGTCATTACGTGAATTAATCCAGGTGTTACAACTCACTGAACTGTACTTCCAAAAATAAGGCAATTTTCACATATTCATTTATTCTTAAAAAAAAAAAAACAATGTCTAAATGAGGCTATTATCAGAAATAAAAACTTTCTAATGAGTTCAATTTCCAACTATTAAAGCAGTAATTAAAGAAAACAAAAAATGAATATCCTCCCTAATTCTTCACAAAATACTTAGTAATTGGAAAATGGTAGTTTCTGGTAGGAAAACACTGAGTTTTTCTTCAATGGCTGATGACAAGTGAAGGCCATTTTAGGCAGGGAAGTCTAAAAACCCTTCCTCACGTGGTTAAAGCTATGATATAAGATAGGTGCCAGCAGAGGCCAGCCACGGGCACCTCCCACCCCCTGCTTGTTTCTGGAAACAGAGTTCTACTGGAGTGCAGCTGTGCCGTCATTTACACACGGCCTGTGGTTCTCCTCACGCTCAACAGCCAGGCGGACAGGCTGTAATGGAGACTATCTGGCGCACAAGGCTAAAATATTAAATACGTGGCCCCTCACAGAGAAGTCGGCCATCAAGTAATCGGAGAAGGCATCAGCGCAGAGAACAGAAAGGCCGGGTTAGCTGGCCAGAGAACGTGAAAGCCCCGAATACCTTATCTGAGAGGGACTCTGGAGCAGGTTCCTCTTCTCTTTTTACTGACGGACTGGACTCTTGTTTAGGTGGGCCAACTTTTGATCTAGCCAAACTTAAGAATTCACTAATGGAATCTTCGTTCTTTTCTTGTTTAGATGTATCCCACCTGGTTGGTTTTCGGGATTCTGAAAAAGTATAGCACAGACAAAACAATGGAACGAGGGAGCTGGAGGCAAGCCCTTCACCACTGCTCTTTCCTTCCCTGAGGACACGGTGCACTTACGAGGGGGTCACGGGCTGTGCCAGTGCTGGGGACGTAGCAGAGACAGAGTCCCAGCTCCAAAGAGTAACACCTGGACCATTACAACATGAATCTGTTTTACACATGCGAGCGATTCTGCTCAGAGAGGGAGACCCTGTGCCACGAGTATCCTCAGGACGAGAGCTTGAGACCCTACTCACTGTCAGGACCTCGGTGCTGTGGCGTGTTTTCACTTGAGGCTTGCGTTGTGGGCAGGGAGGCTGTCTCAGGGATCGTCAGAAAGTTGAAGACTGAGTACTTGTCACGCTTCACCCGTGGTAAGCCAACTAAAGTTGAACTGGGGGATGAAAAGAAAAAAGGATACATTTTAATAACAGCTGCCAGGATGCCATCCACCTCCTACAAAGCTTTCATCTCACATCTCAAGTTTTTCACCAGCTCTTCTACTTGACATAAGGGTCCCTAAGGTACTTTCACTTCCCAAAGCAATTCAAGACTTCAACGGCTGACCTTAGGACCCATGGGTTTTTCCTTATTACAGTAAGGGAATCTAACTCTGAAAATGGATTTACACTAAGGAAAAGTTCCACTGCTAAAAATACACCTGCATTTCCCCACACAGCCTCTCATTCAATTGTAAATGCTTTCTTGCAGTTTTTATAATCAAATACAGAGGTGTCAGAGTTTTATAAAGAGAATTAGGAAATGTGGGTAATGTTTTAAATGCACACTCTATGAGCAGCATTAAAAAGATGCCAAATAAAGGCACTAAGTTTTGTTAATTTGACATACTTGAGTTTTGTATCTTCAATACAAAATAAAAGTTTGCTGTCTGGGTATTTTATTTGTTTAGTAACAAATTAATAGAGGTTGATCTGTAAAACTTGCAACCCCAAGCATTCCCAAGTATGTTTATCAAGCAAACAGGAATTTACAGGCATGTGGAAGGGGACCTATTAGCTTTCCTATGGGAGAATGTGGTTTGTACCGATGTAAAAGGCAGGTTTAGCCAACTTACTCTGGATAAGGGTCAGGGACATTAAACCTCTTACACAGAAGCTTGTCAGGGTGCCACTCAAACGTGTCTCGGGTGAGCTTCCCAAACATCTTCATCTTCACAGCTGACTGCTTGTCGTTGACGTCATTCTGGGAAGAGACACACGTTCGCTTTCATCAGGCGGCCGTATGACTGACCTGGCTGCTCTGCTCTACCCTAACATTTTTGCTGAAGTATCTTAAAAGCTAAAGTTCTTATTAAAAAATATCTTATTCTGCTACGCCGTGTATGTTTTGATCTTTTCAGTGAAGGGTTTGAAATATTTGGCTGTATAGTGCTCTGGTTTTAAAATTCACCAGGTAGGAACACGGGGGTGACAGACCTCTTGGTCTCGAGGGACTTCAACTTGATCTGAATCGTCTTCCTCCTTGGCGTGAGTGAACCTCGACGACAAGGTCGAATGGGAGGACACGTATAGCTGGGCTGCCCGGGCAAACTCATCCCGCTCGCGGCCTCGTTCCCACTCGGTCATGCTGGGATCCAGGCAACGTTCCAGGGCATCTGTGATACAGGGAACAAGAAACTGCTGCACTTCTAGGGAAAACAGGGGGCTGAAAGGAGAGCACGTGGCGACCGTGACTGCACCCTTGTGTGTTTCACCACAGAAAACTCAAGTCCGTACCCTCGCTTTCACGGGCTCGGGCGGGGACAGCGGGGAACTTGGCAGGTAATACTGCTCTCTCCTTCCTTCAAGATGATGCTTTTACTGGATCCTGTCTACCACACATGACACAGAAAACCATCTGGGAGCTGGCTAATGCTTGGTTAAATCAGAAGCAAGAAACTTCTCACCACTCCCAGAGAGCGATAAGTTCCTCCCAAATATAGTAGGCCTATGTTTTGGCAGAAAAATACTTCTGAACCTTATTATTATTATTATTATTATTGTCATTTAACAAATAAATATTAGAAGCATGAGTTCTCAGAAAAGGGTGAAGGCACAGTTAAAGCACTTCATATTCCCCAATGGCCTGCTTTCAAAAAATACTCCTTCTAATCTGCTGACCCCTCTCACAGGAACCACTGTGTAGGTCAGTCATCCCTCCCTTCCTCCTTGCTGTATTTACTTCATAGATCACAGAGTGGTCCCGCGCACCCCACCCCACCCCCTGCCACGTAATGGGTCAACAGCCAAATAGTTTTATATATCAAATGTTAGACTGTGATTGACGGCAGGATGATTAGTATCGTAAGTTAAAGTGGGGTAGTAGGTTAAGCCTCCCCCTGTGGTGCCAGCATCCCGTACGGGCACCAGTTTAAGTTCCAGCTGCTCCACTTCCAATCCAGCTCCCTGCTAATGGCCTGGGAAAGCAGTAGAAGATGGCCCAAGTGCGTGGGCCCCTGTACCCATGTGGGAGATCAGGAAAAGCTCTCTGTCTCTCCCTCCCTGTTTGTAACCCTGTATATCAAATATATAAATAAATCTTAAAAAAAAAAGAAAAAGAAATACCCTCTTTAAAAAAAATAAAGATAAAGTGGGAGATGAGGTTCTCCTGGTGTGAAATGCAACACACAGAAGTCAGCATGAGTTACTGCCAAGGCATGTTCCCTACCTAGAGTTCTCTTTGGACCTGAGACACAGAGAAGGACAAGCTAACTGTTACTACCCTCCAGGGCAGGGGTGGGGAATGTCTAGCCCACAGGCCATATAAGGCCCATGAGATTATTTGGTCCAGCCCTGCCAAAGCAACTGCAGGTAAATCTATAGCAGGCTAATTGTTAAGTTGATAATCCCGTATGGCCCATAAATGATGTTATAAATATCCAAATGGCCCTTGGCAGAAAGAAAGCTCCCTACCCCTGCATAAGGCCCAGCTCAGGGCCTGAAATCTTTGTACTGCTTGCAGCAGGACAAAGCGAAAACACTGGCAGGAAAGGCCACTTCAACCCCAAATCTGGGACCAGGGTGAAAACAGCAAGAATGCCAGCCCACCCTGGTGGGACGTGGGAGACACAGGCCTATCACCCACCTTTCCGACCCTGTTTCATCTGTACCAAGAACTCTTCGTATCGTCTTTGCTTTTCTGGATCTTTAGCGAAAGGTTTGAAGTTGCTGGCTCTTGTGGTGGCTGTCCTACCACCCGAGGCCACGTGCCACGAGCTATGTCCAACTTCGGGAGGGGAGGGCTGCAGTCTGCTGCTGGAGGCGTTCTGGGCCAGACTCCTGGCCTTGAGTTGCGCTGCTTTAAGGTCAGTCGCGTGCTTCATTTCTTTAATTCTCTCCCTATCTTTTTGGGACAGAAACTCTAACACTGATGTACTTGCCCCTAAATAAAAACAGTAATAAGAAGAGATGAGCATTACTGTCAGACAACTACTTTTACATTTCTCTGTACATACATCTTCAATAGCACAAATTAACATAGAGACAAGAATGTTAACGTTTTGTTTATATCCGTATTTCCCCATGAGCTAGACAATAATACAAAGACAAGGCTGCTGTTTTATAATGGAGGTTACTCCTGGCCATCTGCAGGGTTAGGGTTAGGGTTAGGGTTAGGGTTAGGGTTAGGGTTAGGGTTGCAGGACAGGCGAATAGTCTTAGGATGAGGAAGCTGATATCAGGCTCTGTCCTGTCAGTACAAGCCTTGGTACAGAGCACAGAGACCCAATCAGCACGTGCTCACGTCAGAAACGCTTGCTGGGGGCCAGTGTTGTGGCACAGTAGGTTAAGCCTCAGCCTGTGGTGCCAGCATCCCATATGGGTGCTGGTTCAAGTCCTGGCTGCTCCACTTCTGAATCAGCTCTCTACCATGGCCTGGGAAAGCAGCAGAAGATGGCCCAAGTCCTTGGGCCTATATATTTGCGTGGGAGATCTGGAAGAAGTTCCTGGCTCCTGGCTTTGGATCGATCCAGTTCTGGCCATTGCAGCCATTTGGGGATTGAACTAGTGCATAGAAGACTTCTTTGTCTCTCCCTCTCTCTGTCTGTAACTCTACCTCTCAAATAAATAAATAAATAAATGGAAGGAAGGAAAGAAGGAAGGAATGCTTGCTTGCTTGCTTGCTTGCTGAGTACCAGCTCCACATCAGGCTTGGCTCAGACAAGCTCCTTCCTTTCCCTAGAGAGGGAGATGGGCAGGAAGGCAGCAAAGAGCCACACCAGAGAAGTGCTAAGGAAAAAACAAATAGGGTGATGTGCGGGGTTGACTTAGAAGGGGCTGGTAGGGGTCGGCGCTGTGGCACAGTGGCGCAGTGGGTTAACACCCTGGCCTGAAATGCCAGCATCCCATATGGGCACCAGTTCTAGTCCCGGCTGCTCCACTTCCGATCCAGCTCTCTGTTATGGCCTGGAAAAGCAGTACAAGATGGCCCAAGTTCTTGGGCCCCTGCACCCATGTGGGAGACCTGGAAGAAGCTCCTGGCTTTGGATTGGTGCAGCTCCGGCTGTTGTGAGTGAACCAGCGGATGGAAGACCTCTCTCTCTCTCTCTCTGGCTCCTCTCTCTGAGTAACTCTGACTTTCAAATAAATAATATAATAAAATAATAAAATAAAATGAAAAAGAAGGGGCTGGTAGTTGGGGATTCAGGGGAAAGAGGCAGCCAACTGATATGATAGCCAGGGTAGGCCTGGAATGCCTCTTAAGGAAATGATATTTGAGAGAAGTTGTAAGTAAAACAGGAGCCAGACTCACAAAAATACCAGGCAAGGACAGAGACAGAGGAAAAAGCAAACCCAAAGGCCCTGCGGTGGCATCAGTTGGCAAGTTCAAGGGCAGAGGGAGAGACCATGAGTCTGCACCGCAGGGAATGAAGGGAAAGTGGCAGATGTGGCCTGAAAGGCAGGCAGGGGCTGGATCGCACGGGCCTGTGTGAGTCTGGATGTTTCTGTAGGTGGCAGCGTTGTAAGAGGACACTGACACAGCCAGGCCCAGCAAGCTGCGGTCGAGCAAATGGACTGCAGAGGGGAAGGGGGAGAAACCAGGAGGCCAAAGAGGAGGCAGCTGCCAGAGCCCTGGTTAGACCAGGGTGGAAGTGGCAGAAATGCAGAGAAGTGGATGCAATCCCCATGTGCCTCGGAGGAGGAACTGAGGAACTGCTGGTAGGGCTAGAGGAGGAGGGAAAAAGGCCAGCAATCGAGATTCCTACCTGCCGGCCCGAGCAGTGCTCACTGGTGGTTCACTTAGTGAGATGGAGAAGACTGGAGGAAGAGCAACTTCGGGGAAAATCGAGGGGAACCCAGACGTCTGTTTGGCTTGATTATATGAGAAGTCTTGAAATGGCTCATAAAAAGTATGTATTATGAAAAAACTATGTATAGATTTCAAATATTTTTGCATCCAAATAAACTAATTCCGTTTTCCCATGACCTTTCTGAAGCCTCTCGTGTTTGAGACAATGATCGGACTCCCAAATGGCAAAGCTGCTGAGCATGGGCCCCAGGACCCACGGCCACGTCTCCCAGCGGTCTGTCTGCTGCCTCCTGGGGACTCGCACACTTCCACCTCCCCTCAGACACAACTGCCCCTCAGGCTTTAGGGGGAAAAGCTTCACAACCTCTCCCCGACCCAGGGAGGAAAAGCTCGCCTCCCCGGGCTGAGCAGTCCCTGGCTTTAACCCTACTCTTAGATGATTATTTAAGTCTGAAAACAGCTGAGCTTAGGGCAAGGATTGTGATTTTAGTGACACAACCCAAACTGGAATGGAAAATAAGCTTCCAGGAGACGCTCTGCACACTGTTCCATCAGCTGTTCCATGGGAAAACAGTTTCCATTTTGATTTTGAGAATTCAGATTATTTTAAAGTAATGATTTCAATCTTCTCCTTGGCACATACCTTGAACAGGCGTCTCTCCGAGCATCTCCCCACGCTTGGAGGCATTCAGTTGGTGCCTACTGTGTGTCCCTAGGTCATGTGTTGCCTTTCCAGCAGACTCAGATAACACCTGAAGTAAGTGGGAGTTCTCAGAGGTTGCGGCCACCACTGGTCTGAAATAATGCACTGGTCGGTAGTCTCTTGGCAAATCAGGTGGAGGATAAATCTTAACAAGACAATACCCAGAAAACATGGAGTCTGCAAAAATATCATGTTTGCTTTCATCAAGAAAACCTATTACTCCCAAGCACTGCTAACCCCGCCCCTTCCAGGTTAACATTCAGAAAGGAGGTGGCACCAGAACAGGCCAGCCTGGTGTCCAGCCAGCACCCATCTGGACCCCAGAGGGTCACCAGAACCACACCATTCCAATGGTCAGATGCTCGAAACATCATCCCTGCCCTCTTCTACACAGAGACGCTAACATGCATGTTTATATGAAGAGACAGTGAGGGTGATCACAGGTAACATGGCACAGCATCCCACCTGCACAGCTGGCCTGCTATAAGGCAGAATATTTTAAAAAGTATGATTCAAAGCTTTGCAATAATTTCAAATTAGTTAAATTTAAATTCAGAATTTTTTTTGCAGGTTATATTTCATTTCCAAATTGAAGTTTCAGACCTTGTTTTTTGATCCCAGGTTTGTTTGCTTTTTTTTTTTTTTCTTTTAAATAAACATTTATTTGAAAGACAGAGTGATACAGAGGGAGATCTTCTATCTGCTGGTTCACTCCCCAAATGGCTACAATGGCAGGGGCTGGGCCAGGCCAAAGCCAGGAGACTGGAACTTTCACGTGATTGGTAGGGGCCCAAGTACTTAAGCCATCTTCCACTGCCTTCTCAGGCACATTAGTAGGAATCTGGGTCAGAAATAGAGCAGCTGGAACTTGAACTGGTGGTTTAATATGGGATGCCAGCACCGCAGGCAGCGGCTTAGCCTGCTGTGCCACAATGCCGGCCCCAATCCCAGATATTTTTAATTCAAAAGCTGATTAAACTGAAATTGAAATATATTTGTGAAATTCAGGTATTTTTAATTCTAACAGGCATTAATGATAGTAGAACAGAAAAAAGAAAGCACGGTACTGGATATTTTTAAACAACTACACTATGTGGTCTCTTTTGCTCTTGGTCTAACAAACACACATTTATGGACACACCTATTTTTCCAGGTGTTTAAACTACTTGAAAGCTGTGAAACTCTGTAACATGTGAAGCCCTGAGCCCTGCTCACTGTGGCTCTCAGCCCCAGGTACACACTGAACTTGCCGTGGAATTTCCACAATGCTAATGCCTTGGGGTGGGCATTGGGCACGCGGTTAAGCCTCTGTTTAGCATGCCTGCATTCCGTATTACAGTGCCTGGATTTGAGTCCCACCTCTGCTCTTCATTCCAACTATCAGCTAATGTGCAAACTACCTGCTAATGGCAGGTAGCAGGTGATGGCTCAAGTACTTGGGTCCCTGCCACTCTTGTGGGAGACCCAGATTGAGTTCTTATCTCATAGGGCTGGTGCTGTGGCCCAGCGGGTTAAACTGCTGCTTGTAATGCTGGCATCCCACATGGCACCAGTTCGAGTTCCTGGTTCCTGGCTTCATCCTAGCCCAGCCCTGGCTGTTTTAGGCATTTGAGGAGTATACCAACAGATGGGAGACCTCTCTGTCATGTCTGTTACTTCGCCTTTCAGATCAAGAAAATAAATTTAAAAAAAGAACTATTGACACCTATGTCCCGCCCCAGACAGCCTGATACAACTAGAGTTCTCCAAGCTTCCCAGTGGGTGGTGAGGCACAGCCTGGGCTGGGCAGCTAGCACTATGAAAGTCTATGAGAGGGGCTAGCTCTGTGGCATAGTGGGTAAAGTGGCAGCCTGCAGTGCTGGCACCCCATATGGAGGCCAGTTCAAGTCCTGGCTGCTTCACTTCCCATCCAGATCCTTGCTAATGCACCTGGGAAAGCAGCAGAGGATAGCCCAAGTACTTAGACCCCTGCACCCGTGTGGGAGACCCAGAAGAAGCTCCTGGCTCCTGGCTTTGGATCAGCCCAGCTCCAGCCATTGCGGTCATTTGGGGAGTAAATTAGTGGATGAAGACCTCTGTCTCTTTGCCTCTGCTTCTGTCACTCTGCCTTTCAAATGAATACATAAATCTTAAAAAGAAAGAAAGAAAGAAAGAAAGAAAGAAAGAAAGAAAGAAAGAGAGAGAGAGAGAGAGAGAGAGAGAGAGAGAGAAAGAAAGAAAAAGAAAAAGAAAAACCCACAATAGAGGGCTTTACCATTGTCAGGAAACCTCACTTGTTATTGTCGAGCTCGACCACCCTTCTGAAACATGCAGATCCCCCAGTCAGCCAGAAAACACTCTCACGTGACCACCACACAAAAGTCCAGTGGAGCCTGAAGGCTGTGTCCACGACTCTCCTTTATATCCGCCAGTCAACTCGGTGCATTTCCTTCCCTCGGCCAAATGGCTCCGCTCAGCTCTAGACCCGCAGGCTGGGTCTCTTAGCCACCGGTCCAGAAAACTCGCCCAATGCGTGAAAGGCTAGGTGAACACAGCCCTCCCCTGAGCCATCCCCACTTGAGACTCCTCAGCCAGGAGTCCCTCAGGAGCCTCCCACATCTCTCCAGTTAGGGTACAGGTGCATTAGCAGGGGGCTGGTTAGCACCCTCCACACCACATCTGGGTGCCTGGCACTCTCACAGGATAGCAGCTATTTGGGGCTGGAATTAGTATTATTTATCCTTGAACCCTAAGTCGGGAGAGTACTTCTCTGCCATTTTTTAAACTGTGCCTTGTTTTCATACATATAAAACCCACATTCTCCTTTAATGTCATTTGACATTTCTGGTCATTCTAGAGGCTCCCTCTGTGCCCAAGGCTGTTCTAAATACACCCCAGTCCTGTTAGAACACCGTAAGGCTCAGGACAAAAGGACTAAGAGCCACTGGAATTGTGAATGTGGTTTTTCAACTGTGCTGTCCCTGGTCAGTCCTGTCGTGAGGGTCACAGGCCAGGTCTTAGAGGTACCTGGCAAATGTCTATGTCTGCTGATCGAAACAAAAAATGCTGTCTGCTGTGAGGAACAATCTGAAAAAGGAAAGCCAACAAGGCAGATGGTCGGAACTCACAACTGGATCTGAGCACGCGCTTGTGAGCACGCGGCTCTGGTGGGCATTAAAGGGAGGACATCACTGGGCCTAAGAGCGGATCTTCACTTGTGGCCATAACAGAATCCCACAAACAAGACCATCTGCAATGAGTGTGGCTGTCTCCCTTATCCCCCTTCGGCTCAGCCCCTGCTACGGTCCAGATACCTCGGCCACACTGGCTTTGGGAGGAGTCAGGATTGCGGGTTATGATGGCCTTTTAAACATTTTCTCCTTTTCCTTAAAATTACATCAACTGGGGCCTGCCAGTGGCACAGGGGGCTAGGCTACCACCTGCAATGCTGGCATTCATATGAGCAGTGGTTATAGTCCCGGCTGTGGGGAGCAACTCGGACTAGACTGTTACTGGAATTAAGACTTATTCTATGCATCTGCTCTCCCACAATATGGCGCTGAGAAGGGAGTACCAGCTTCTACACAGCTGCCTCCAGTTCAACCAATAAACTGTAGGACCTGCTCCTGATTGGAGGAGAGCAGCGTACTCGGCGTGTGGGTAGCAGAGTTGGGATTGGTGAAGAGGACTATAAAGGAGGAGAGAGACAACATGCACCAGGAACATCTAAGAGGAACACCTGTGCAGCCCCCAAGAGAACCGGCCAGCGGTGTGCCACTCCCCTGCGGAAGTGGGGAAAGTAGCCAGGGGGAACCGCCCTTCCACGGAGGTGGAAGGGTCGGTAGCCAACCCGGGAAGAACCAGCAGCAAACCCGGGGAGGGCCGAGCAGACAAAAGAACAGCGCAGGGTCCTGTGTCGTTCCTCCATGAAGAGGGGGAGCGACACCGGCTGTTCCACTTCCAATCCAGCTCCCTGCTAATGTACCTGGGAAAGCAGCAGAAGATGGCCTAAGTGCTTGGGCCCCTGCACCCATGTGGGAGACCCGGATGGAGTTCCAGGCTCCTGGCTTCAGCCTGGCCAGGATTGGTCATCAGTGGCCCAGCTGATGCAGCCATTTAGAGAGCAAACCAGCAGCTCTCTTTCTTCTCCATCCCTCTCTCCCACTCTCTGTAATTCCACCTTTCAAATAAACAAAATAAATCTTTTTAAAAGGCACATCAGTTTCATTCTCCACCAGTTTCTAATGTGTATCTCTTCTAAAGGAAATAGCACTCCCTCAGAATGGGAAGTTCGGATTTCAGAGGTCAGCAATTAGATGTTCTGAAACAATGTGGTTACTGACTAGACCTTGCCAGTGCATACTATACATGATGTTTTCCTGGACAATCACTGGTTACCAGGCTGTTGCTTTTAAGAAAACAGAATCTATGTATCTTTTCAGTGGTTAATATGACAACACAGATTACACAGCAGCAAACTTTTAAGCAGCAAATCAGGGAAAAAAAAAGTTTTTCTTACTTTCTTAGAAGATAAAGGTTTAGAAGCCAAGGAAAATCCATCCAGAATTTTGCCAACGTATCGAAGATCTTTCTCTGATTCTACAAGAATGATGTCACTAGTTAATTTCCGAAATAGAAACAACTAGAATAAGACAAAAGACATGAGCTTTTTCTCTCCAAGAACATAAACAGTGCGTGTCAAATGTGATATCACTCACAGGTGGCAGAAAAGGCATGTCAGATGTTCACACCCCTGTTGACTCAGTGACTGGTGTGGGCCTAGCCCACACCACCCTGAGCCGATTAGGCTGCCAGATCACAAGGCTACAACCCTCCCAGGCAGCACTTCAATGTAATTTTTAGACAAGGACCATAGATCCTAGGCCAAGTGGCATCAGAGATACCCCCTAAGAAGTGAAAGATCAAGAAAAACAAATGTGGGTAAAAATTAAAATCTTAACTGTGGGAGAGTCACTTCTAAAACTAAATGAAGCAGCATGGGATATTATCTCCCAGTTTCCTTAGGAACAATCCAGATAAGGCACAAAAGGCAATACAACCAGGTCAGCCTGTAATCTAATCTTAGTACAGATTGAAAGGCATTTTTGTCTTTGTCTCAAATGAAATTTTTAACAGCAGATAAAGATCACAAACTTAGGACATGGAATGACCAACGCCCTCTGACTTGGAGCTGGGCACTGTCCATTGGTCATGGAGACAACCCCAGCCACAAAGGTTGCTTCTCAAGGATTTCCTGCACCTAGTGGTCACACCAAAAGCGCAGACACACGAACTGCAATTTCTGTACCCAAAAGCCTCGTCTACCTGACACCCATGAGCACTTACACAGTAAGGTGCTCAGCCTGAAGCAGGTGCAGCCTGCAGTGCAGGTGAGCTAAGGGTTTGACCGCTGATAACACAGCACCATTGTGTAACCACCCTCCCCACAGAGTCCTTCTTTGTACTTCAGCTCTTGTTTCTACCAGTCTCTAGAGTGCCTAAAATTCTGTAGGTAACCTGGATAAAATTTCATACTCTAAGAATTTTGAATTCATTTATAATCCAGAATTTTACTATTCTGAAGAATTCTGATGAAATAAACAACAAATGTACATAAAGATAGAAACATAAGAATACTCATTATAGTTGTATTGATTGTGGAAAAACAATGCACAATTTAAAAACCAATCATGGTGACCGAGTAAAATAAAGATAGATCCACTCAAAGAAACCCATAATCAAAACTGTAGATGTGGGGTACACATTTGGCCTGGCAGTTAAGACAACAGTTAAGATGCCCACAACCTAGGGATGTGGGTAAAGCTGCTGCCCGTGACACCAGCATCCCATACTGGCATCAGTTTGGGTCTCAGCTGCTCCACTTCCAATTCATCTCTCTGTTAATTCCTGGGAAAAGCAGCAGAAGATGGCTTGGGCCCCTGCCAATCACGTGGGAGACCCAGATGAAGCTCCTGCTCCTGAACCCTGGCTGTTGTGGCCACCTGCAGAGTGAACCACTAGATGGAAGGTCTCTCTGTGTGTCTCTGCCTCTTCCTCTCTGTAACTCTGACTTTCAAATAAATAAATAGATCTTTTAAAAAAATGCCATATCTCATATTGGAGTGCTTGCCTTTGCCACCCAGCTCCAGCTGCTGATCTCAGCTTCCTGCAAATGCACACCCTGGGAAGTAGTGGTGACGGCTCAAGTAGCTGTATTTCTGCCACCCGTGTAGGAAACCTGGATTGAGTTCCTAGCTCCAGATCCACCCAGTCCTACAGTGAAGGCCGCTGGGGAGTGAACCAGTGTCTGAGAGCATTCTCTTTCTCTTGCTCACTGGCTCTCAAATAAATAAATAGCTTTGCTAAAAAGAAAGGTTTTATGTACATAAATTGTGAAAAATAACCTTTTTTTAAAAAAAAAAAACTACAGATAGTGTGGTCTTGAGAATGAGAAAGAGGCCGCTTCAAGAGGGGTCACAGCAGAGACGAATGATGGGAGGCTGGGGAGCTCACTGGGCAGGAGAGTAATCCAGCCAGGGAAAAGGTACTGTAAAAGGGAAAGTGAAAGCTTTGGTTCAAAAGGCAGATTCAAATATATATATTACAATATGTCACTCATCATTACTAGCATTGACTTATTAATATCAATGTATTAATATTAATTAATATATGGTGTTATCTATAATATACTGGTTAATATATTTATTATTATTTATTACTATTATTGTAATAGTTAATACCACTAATAATACATGTTAATATAAGAGCACTTCAAAAATTTTGTAGAAAAATGAAATTAAAAATTTTTAAGGGTTGGGAGTTATGACACAATGGGCTAAATCACCACTTGGGACATCCACATCCCATATTGGAGCACTGGTTCTAATCCTGGCTACTCCGTTTCCAATCCAGTTCCCTGCTAATGCACCTGGGGCTCCTGCCACCCACATGCACCCATACCCTGGATAAAGTTCCTTGTTTCTGGCTCCAGCTTGGACCAGTCCTGGTTGTTGTGGCTATTTAGGGAGTGAGCTAGAGGATGAAAGATCTTTCTCTCTCTGTCACTCTGCCATTCACATAAATAACACATATTTTAAAAAATTTTAAATAAGACTTAAAAAATTTCACACAGTTTTTTCATAATAAAGATTTTTCACAAACTTTTCAAAGATACATTGTATATACAGATTTCAAATTTTTTTGCACCAAAATAAATTCTTCTAAAGATTTATTTATTTATTTGGAAGGCACAGCAAGAAAGAGAGAACCTGACATCCACTGGTCCACTCTCCAAATGGCTGCAAAAGCCAGGTCTAGGGCAGGTCAAGCCCAGGAGCGAGGAACTCCAATCCTGAGCTCCCACGTGGGTGGCAGGAGCCCAGTGAAGTGGAGCACTCTGATATGGGATGCCAGAATCATAAGCTGTGGCTTAACTGCACCACAATGCCAGCACTCGCACCGAAATAAATTTATCTTATAATTCCATTGTTCATAAACTCTTTTTTTCAAAGAATATTTATTTCAAAGTCAGAGTTACAGCAAAAGAGAGAGAGAAAGAGAGATCCTTCATCTATTGCTTCATTCTTCAAGTGGCTGCCAATGGCCAGGACTAAGCCAGGCTGAAGCCAGAAGCCAGGAGCTTCATCCGGGTCTCCTACTCAGGTGGCAGGGGCCCAAGCACTTGGGCCATCTTCTGCTGCTTTTCCCAGGCCTTTAGCAGGAAGCTGAGATGGAAGTGGAGCATCCAGAACTTGACTGGAACACCACAGGCAGCAGCTTTACCCACTATGCCACAATGCCAGCCCTGGTTCGTGAATTTTTGAAAGTCTCATTCTCCCACCAGTTTCCAATGTACCTTTAATTAATAACTAGCATGTAGCAACTATTACATTATTATATAATAAATATATTATTCCTAGTATGCTACATATATAAAATGAAAAATATAATGTAAATATAAATAATTTAAAACATAATTATATATTCATTGAAGTGTAATATAACAACTAATATATTATGTTAGTATTATATATCTTCTAAGTTATAAAGATAATACATAGTCTTGGTAGAAAAACCAGAAATGACGAAAGAAGAAAGCAAAAATAACTTAACTGCCACCCAGAGGAAATGCCTACTGATACGGAGTACACACCCTTCCAGTATAAAACCCTGGGTTCTTTTTGTGGCGATGACAACAGAGACCAGTCACACCTACATAGTGCTTGCTATGTGCCATGCTCGTCCTAAAGCCTTTGTGTCCAGTAAACTCTCCGTGAGCTAGGCATGCCACTAACTCCTGTTTTTCAGCCGTGGATGCCGAGGCACAGACAGGTTAAGTAGCTTGCCCCAAATCACAGCTGACAAACAGGGAGATCCAGGACTGGAACCAAGCAGACTATCTATATGTGTTCATAACCACTAAACAAATACCTCTACAAACTGTTTGCACTTGCTCTTTTTCCTCTAGAAATGAAAAGTAGACATTACTTACGAAGGTGATGCTCAAATTCATATACTCTTCTATGATATTTTAACATATTTCAATACGTATACCTTAGACGTATTTGACAAGTGTTAAGTCAAAATTTACCCAACTACAGCTAAAATGCCAGAATCGATTGTTTTCTCTGTCTCATCCTCATACTTATATACGTTGGTGTTACCATCACAACCAAAGAACAGTAGGTGCTGTTTATTCAGTCTCTGGGGCAGGTACTGTGCCAAACACTGGATTATGTCACTTAATCCTCACGACAACATCCAGAGTGGACTTTATCTTTACTTTACAAATAAGGCTTCTGATGCCCAGAGAGCTCAGGAGCCTCACCTAACCAAGGTCACAGAGCTGGGCAGTTGACAGCTGGGATCCAAACACAGAGCTGACTGATGCCAAATGTCATGTGATTAATACTGACTCCACACTGTCTTCCCCTGCACCTTTTCTGGACAGAAAAACTGAAATACTACTTAGAGCCAAAGGAAGTGAGTCAACATGGACTTCGACTTGGAATTGTGTTGCAAGATGCCCACCTCTTATCTGAAGCAGAGCCCCCTATAAGCCAGGGACTCAGATGAGGAGATATACTAGGCCAAAGTCCCTCTTGCCACAGGCTGCTGCAAGCTTCCATCCAGTCCCAGGCCTGGTCTTCCCACTTGTCCCTTGAGTTGGCCTCCTTTGGCTGCCTGCCCAGTTTCTGGAGCTCTGAGTGTATCCCTTTGACCCACTTCCAGCTCACCTTGCAACGTGGGCACCTGTCTACAGATTAGCCCTGCCCTGCTTCCAGACTTCTCCCTCCTCCCTGCCTCAGCCCCACCTTGACTGTTGGCTTTGGGCTTGACCTGCTCTGAAGTCCACTTCTGTCTTACTTCTCACACTTGAACTTCCCTTCTCCCCACATTGTTTCTGACCCTGGATCTTTCACCAGCTTCCCCCTTCTCCACAGAGGCTGATACTGCAGGGTCAGTCCTGCAGTTCCTTCTCCCTGATACACTGACATTTGTTCCTACCATTTGAGTATGGGTCTATGGAATTACCTTTCTGACTTTTATATTGCTTGGGCGCTGTCCAGCCGTAGAGTCCGTCTCCAGGCTCCTCATCCTTCAACACAGTGTCATACTTGGATAGAGTTTCCATGGCATAGATGTCATCATCTTCCTCTTCCAGGGCACCCACACCGAAAGCCTTCAAAAACAAGGTGTTAAGCTGAGCAACTGCAGGTTCTAATGTAGGTGTGCCCTGAAGGATACAGGTCCTTGAAGGATGTGATGGAGCAGGCCACATTAGCACTTCAAGATCACCAAGAGTAACAACTGGGAGGCCCAGATTAACACAGAAAACAGTCAGCAGAAGTGAAAGCCACTCCTCCACGGCCTTGGATTCAGGTCCTAGCACAGGAAGAGCGGTGAAAACTACACCCAAGCAGCGGGGCAGGGGCAGAAATGTTCATCTATGGATCACTGAGGCCCGGGCTGGTTCTGAGGACACTGCTACTCTAACAGCTGCTGTGAGAACTCCTTATCTTGGTGGGAAACAGCCTCCAAGTTCACTTTTGTTAAACGGTTTGGGGAAAAACACGTATAGACAGACAAGGTAACAGGGAAATGACAAAGTCACCATCATCTACATGCATTTAAGAAAGAACGTCTGGATCAGACTTGAGAGCACAAGCTCTCCATCCTCCCAGAAGCAGGATGCGAGTTCCCTGAGTAAAAGTGAACTCTGTGTTCAGGACTTAGGGCTTGCAGTAGTCCAAGAGGTAGGAAAACGTGGACCTAAGCTCAGAGGGGCAGACTGCAGATTGTCTGTTATTAAAACAAAGAAGTAAGAGTGGTCTTCTGTGTGGTCCCAAAGGGTAGGAAGGCAGTCCTCACCCTGGCAGGGCAAACTCCACCAAAAACATTAGGCACCAGCTCTCAGGAGCCCATCATTAAAATCAGGAAGGTATGCTTTACATGTCTCCAAAAAGTACCATAGGGAAATATAACCACTTCAAAGTCCTCAACTAGGGGTGTGTGTTTGGTACAACAGTTAAGACACTGCTTGGGCTACCCACATCCCATATCAGAGTGCCTGGGTTCAGGTCCCCGCTCTGCTTTGGATTCCAGCTACCTGCTAAGACACACCTGGGGAGGCAGTCCCCCTTCCCCTGGTTGGAAACTTGAATTGAGTTCCTGGCTCCTGGTTTTGGCCTAGCCCAGCTCCAGCAGACATTTGTAAAAGGAACCAGCTGATGGAAGATCCCTGTCTGTCTCCTGCCTTGCACTCTTGCTCATTCTCTCTCTCTCTCCTTTTCAAATAAAATTAAAACAAAAAAATTCACGTCCTCATTTGTTCCACGATTAATGAGTGTCTGCCGTGGGGCACCCCTAACATGGAAAGGGCACTCATCTGTCCGCGGTTCCGCCTGTATGAGACAGATCGCTTTTACCTGGCCTGAAATGCCCAGCTTTCTTCCTTTACTCAGTCCAACATCTCCAAGAAGATCACTGGTCCCCTCAGATCCCCCACTGAAGAGATTAATATGTTCTCCTGAAGTTCCGAACAGTGCCTGGTGGGGATCCAGGCCCTTGTAAGCGAGTCCGTGTACATTATCTTTAGGTGTGAAATCCACAGGTGTGACGTCTTTGGGGGCAAAGGTCACATTATCAGGCAAGTAGTCATCTTCTTCATCCTATGTTTAAAGTAGAATAAAGGTGAGTCAGTGTGTGGCATAAAGTAAACCCATAATATACGACTTTAAAATGCAGTGATTAATTCCAAACAGAACATTCCCAACTGCCATTTGTGCTGGTACAAATGACTAAATCAGAAGCAGCCATTTGGCCTCGTGGTTAAAACATCGGTTAAGATGTCCTCATCCCACACTGGAATACCTGGGTCCAATACCTGGCTCCAACTCCTGACTCTAGCTTCCTGTTAATGCAGATCCCAGAGGTAGCGGTGATAGCTCAAGTGATTAGATTCCTGCATAGGAGACTTTGACTGAATTAGCAGCTCCTGCCTTCAGCCCTGGCCCAGCCCCAGCCCCAGCTGCTGTGGGTGTTTGGGGAGTTGAACCAACACATGAAGGCTTTATCTCTCTCTCTCTCTCTCTCTCTCTCTCTCTCTCTCTCTCTCTCTCTTTCTCTCTGCCTCTCAAATAAAAAATAAAATAAAAAATGACCAAATCACACCTCTGAACCAATGATACCAATACAGACACCTGGAAGAGAAGCATCTGAGCAGACCAGGGTGTCTACGGTGCTGACATGTTGCTGAAGGCATTATCTGACCTAATGAGCGCAGTTTTAGGCTACGGGTATTAATGTTAATGGGATCCGACTGGTTTCTAAAATTGTTTCCAACCCTAAAATGTTGCAATCATAAAGTAACAGGTGCTACAGTATCAAATTGAAGGCCAGCCCTCCCTTCCCATACCATACCTCAGACCCTTCTGAGCCTCCAGGGGGTAAGGCACAGCCATAGATTTTGACTCCGGGATCTGTAACAGAGATTTCAAAGGTGTTACTCACTAACACTCTGCAGAGGTACCTGGCTGTACCTGTAAAAGGTGCTACAGCTGCAGGGGTAGAGGCAGATCACCAGAAATAGATTTCCACCAGCTTTCTACCTTACTCCTGCTCAGTGAGGAACCACTGCTGCCTCGGCACCATGGAAAACCCAAAACAAACTACTGCTGTCCTCACAACATCTACTCACAATCTGGATGTCCCAGGAGAATAAGGGTAAAAAAGTAAGTAGAAAATAATATTGCTGGGGCTGGCATGGTGACACACTGGGAAGAGCTGCTGCTTGGGATGCTTGTGTCCCACATCAGAGTGCTGGGTCAAGTCCTGGCATCTCTGCCTCTAAGGTACCTGGGAAGCAGCAGATGATGGCTTAAGTACCCGGGTCCCTGGCTTTGGTCTGGCCCTTCCCCGGCTGCTGTGGGCACTGAGGGGTGAACTAGTGGATGGAAGATATCTCTATCTCTGTCACTCTGCCTTCCAAGTAAATAAATAAAAAAAAAAAAAAAAAAAGGAAGATGTATGTTCGAGTGTTCAAGGGGCAACATGCAGCATAGTGGTTAGAAGGATGCTTGAGCTCCAGTTCGAAGTCTAGCTTCTTGCTGGTACACCCCGTGGCTCAAGTACTTAGATCCCCGCCACCCACATGAAAGGACACGCTGAGTTCTTAGACCCCTGACATCAGCCTGGCCCAGCCCTGGCTGTTGCTGGCATTTGAGGAGGGAATCAGTGGATAGAAGATCTCTCTCTCTGTCTCTGCCTTTCAAACAAAAAAATAATTAGAGGCAGGCATCCTGGCACAGCAGGTAAGCCACCATTTGGTACTCCCGCCTCCCTATCAGAGTGCCAGTTAAAGTTTTAGCTATTCTATGCTAATGTACCTATGAGGCAGTAGATGATGATAACAACTGCTTGGGTCTTGGCTTCAGCCTTGCCCAGCCCCAGTCATCACAGCCATTTGGGGAGTGAACCAGAGGATAGAAGATCACTTTCTCAGTTTCTCCTTCTATTACTCTTTCAAATAAATAGAAAACAAATCCTTAAAAAATAAAAAACAGATTTTTTTAAAATAAATAGATTTAAAAATTTTTAAAGTATGCTCTAGAACTAATGAGAAATATGGTGGACATTTTGTGTAGCAATTAAGATAACACTTGGGAAGCCTGCATTCTTTATCAGAATGCCTGGCTTCAAGTCCCAGCTTCTTGCTAACATGTTTCCTGGAAGGCAGAAGGTGATGGATGAAGCATTCAGGTCTCTGCCACCCACACCAGGAGACTAAGACAGAGTTCCAGCTCCTGGCTTCAGCCTGACTCAGCCTTGGCTGTTGTGAACATTTGGGGAATGAACCAAAGGATGGGAAATATATGTCTATTGGTCTCTCTGCCTTTAAAATAAAATCAATTCGTTAAAGTTTTTTGTTTTTTTTTTTAAATAAAGAATTCATACAACTCAATACACATACCTGGTTTCTGTCGGCGTGGCCTTCTCTTTACTCGAGGGCCAACTCCTTGCCCTTCCTTCCAACCCATTTTTCTTAGCAATTCAAAACCAATAGATAATCTAGGATATCAAGGCAAAGAAAATGAACTTTTTTGGATGACATCAGCAATGGTACGAGATAAGCAGTGTCTGAGTTCCTGCCCAGCTCCCACACCTGTCTTGCCTGGGCACTCTCCCTTGCCCACGTGAGAACTGCCTGCTGTCTCCACCACAGCCGCGCAGCCTGAGGGGCTGGGGAGAGCAATCAGACACCCTCTCCTGGGCCTGCAGTGGGCATGTGGAAACTCTAAGTTGTCTGTGCTGAGCAGGAGGCCTGGGAAACATGAAGGCCTGAAGCTGCCATATCAGGCCTCATGCCCAGGAGTGGAACAAGGAGGAACACGGGAAGAGACGGTAGAACGAGGCAGGCAGGAGAGAACCTGCGAGGGAGGTTGGGGAGAGAAGCCACCCCAGTTCCCAGGAGCTCTCCAGCCTGCTTGAGCACTAATGGCACAGCTAGCGGCTGGGACTCCTGGGCATACCACACAGAGATAAAACAACATCCTTTTGAACCTTTCACTTAGACATTGAGTCTAAGGAGGCATCTGTTACTTGCAACCAAATTATCCCCAAGTAAGACAATCCTACAGATGCAAAGCACAATGCCCAGAGCAGAACAGAATCAAATTCTTCTCACTTAGCTGGTGATATGAGGTCATCGAGCAGAGTGGCTCCAGGAATAGGGGCAGTAGCAGCCGCCAACTGCCTGGCCTTCTCTCGGATCCTATCTTTGGTTTTGGAAGCAAAATCGTCTGTGGTGACAATTGCTTTAGGTGCTATTCCAAATTCACTGAGATCCTTCAGGAAAAGAAAAAAAAAATCACACAGAACAACCTTATTTAGAAACTAATTAAAAGTGACACACTACCCAGCTTTATTTCTTTTTTATAAAACAAAAAGTTAACACTACAAAGTTTAGCCCAGGAGCAGCGGAGCGGCAGACTTTACACACAAGCGTGAGTAGCTCATCCTCAATGGGCAAAGGCCATCATCAAGCTCTTTCCTTGAAGAGCCGTGAGGTTGTCCAGGCACCTGCTTTCCTTTGTGCCCCATCATGAATGGTGCCCCAATATCAGGGAAGCAGGCTAGGGAGCGGGGGTTAGTGTCTTGTGCAAGCCAGTCATTTGAGTCCCATTTCCTTTGCCAGGGACTGCTTCAGGAATGGACATGTGAAACGATGGCCCCCAACAGATGTGCAGGAAAATCCACAGCAGGACTGCGGACTGCTCTCAAGAAAGGATACCAGGAGGGAAGACACCCTTCCGCTGTGGTCCAGTCCTTCTGGCTGTGCCGCCTGGAACTAGTGCACCACGCGGTGACACGAGGAGAGGCAGTAGGCACCAACTGCAGGAGACGGCTGAGAAGGAACAGCTGGGGGCCCCACTGACATCTAGGTGTCTGTTTCCTTACAGCTTATGCTACTAAAACAGGAAGGGCGCCTGCCTTTCTTCTTACCTGCAGCCTAAGTAGCCAATGTTAAGTATTTTGTACAAACTTTATTGTGTATCAGTCCATGACTGGGTTTTAAGGTAGCACAGGTTAAATTTCAGTTGCTCCCTGTTCCTCAAACTGCAGTGTGTGTGTGAGTTGCTGTGGAAAGCCGCAGGCTCAGCACCACAGAGAGTGCACTTTTGGGGCAAATGTGGCTTTTCAAGTAAATTTGCCTATACGTGGCTTTCCCTTTCCATTTCTGACTTTAGAAACTGACCCAGCACAAGACACTACACGAGTAAACTAGAATCCACAGATGGACAGGGTGCTGCAGTACAAATACCTACAAGATAAAGCCTTACAACAAAAGGAATTCATACATTGTTGGACTTTCTGGCTACAGCCACCACACACCCCACCAACTAACGGGCGGCTGAAGTCTTGCACACCCACCTCTTCATCCATGAAGTCTTCAGGACTGAGAACAGATTTGTCTGCTCTGTTCTGGCGAGAAGACACAAAGGTAGAGGGTGTCCATCCTACAAAAAAGAGTTTAGACTTTGCAGTCCTAGATAGCATTCTGGCTTATATCAAAATAATGAAGTAACATATACAGACTTGAAACTCCCATGCACTCTGGAGTCTCAACTACTTTCCATCCCACTGCTCATTAGATACCATTATTCCATAGCAGTTTCAACCCTGATTATCCTCTGTTGTCAGAGCTCAGTGGGGGGCTGGCACTGTGGTATATCTGGTTAAGCTGCTGCCTGTGGCTCTGGCATCCCATTAGGGTGCTGGTTTGAGTGCCAGCTGCTCCACTTACAATCCAGCTCCCTGCTAATGTGCCTGGGAAAAGTAGCACCCATGTGGGAGACCCAGAAGACACTCCTGACCCCTGGCTTTGGATCAGCTCAGCTTAGGCCATTGCAGCCATTTGGGGAGTAAACCAGTGGATGAAAGCTCTCTCTCTCTCTCTGTAGGTCTGCCTTTCAATTAAAAAAAAAAAAAAAAAAAAAAAAAACTTAGTGGATACACACTGAGGCATCCACATGGGAATCTGGAACCATACACAATACATACGCTATATGCTGAGGAGTGAGCTTTGACCTGGTGGCTAAGACATTAGTTGGTATTTCCATACCCTACTTCAGAACACCTAAGTTCGCTTTCCAGCTCCAACTCCAGGTTCCAGCTTCCTCCTAATGCGCCTGGGATGCTGTGATGTTGGCTCAAGTTCTTGGGTCCCTGCCACCCATGGGGAGACTCAGATGGAGTTCTTGGTTCCTGGCTCTGGCCTGGCCCAGTGCCAGATGTTGCAGGCATTTGAGGAGTGAGCCAGTAGGTAGAAGATCTCTCTCTTTCTCTCCCCCTCAACCCCAACCCCATCTCCCACTTTCCCTCTCTTTCTGTCACTCTGAATTTCAAATAAATAACTAAATCTTTAAAAACTGACCACTTCTTGGTAGCTTAATTTCCTAACAAAGTAGTTTTCTTTTTTGATAATTCTTTTTTTTTAAGATTTATTTTATTTATTAGAAATACAAAGTTATAGTGAGAGGGAGAGATCTTCCATCCACTGGTTCATTCCCCAAATGGCCATAAAGACCAGGGCTGGACCAGCTGATGCCAGGGGCTTGGTGGGAGATGTGTATGCAGGAGCCCAAGTACTTGGACCATCTTCTGCTGCTTTCCCAGGTGCATTAGCAGGGAGCTGGATCAGAAATGGAACAGATGGAATTCAAATAGGCACCCATATGGGATGCCAGCATTGCAGGTGTCAGTTTAACCTGCTGCACCACAATTCTACCCCCACAGTTTTTAAATTTTTTAAACTTTCTAGATTAAAACACACATTCCCTTACTTTAAACAAGATGGGGTTTGTTAAACTACATACATGAAATTTTAAATTGACCTTTCTCCAGGTTGAGAGCATGTAGCAAAACCAGTCATGGTAGTCTCCAACATCAGGAGACCACCCCACTTGTTAACTCCCCCCACCTCTCTGACAGTATGCTGGTTCTGTAACCCCTGTGACCTCTGGTGACCTCAATTGCACAACACTTGTGACACCTGTCCTCCTTACACAGAGTCATAGGAGACAGTCAATGATTAACGGATTGAATCTGTGAGAATACTGTGTGCATGACAAGAGGTAATACAAAGGGGAGTCTTTTTCATCACTTACTCATCTGGTTAGAACGTATCCATTTTGCACAGTGAAAGAACTCTTTCACCTTCAGGTTACAGGCAGTGAACATACTAACTGACTCTGCACACATTCCAAACACTCAAAGGACACAAATGACTACAGTGTATGCACTAAAAGTTTCAAAGAAGAAGTTACAAAAAAAAAAAAAAGAGAGAGAGAGAGCGAGCCAGGGAGAAGTATCCCATGATATCTGAATCCTTTGCTTTAGCAACATAAGAGTTCTAGTAAGACAAGCATACCTTCTTTGGAGCCAACAGTATTGAAGTACCCGGCAGAGAACCCTCCGCTGAAGGCTCCATGAAATCGTTTATACCTTCCTTTCTCATCTCTGACAGTCTGATCCTGAAGAGGAACCGGTTTCTTTGGTCTTTCACCTGGAAAATTTCAAAAGAAAAAATAATTGTTTAATAAAAAAGAGAGAAAGGGTGGTCAGTTAGAATTTAGGGAAGATACAATTTCTTAAATATAATGAAATTCTCGCTTCTTCCAGTTTCAAATATAACAATTTAAATATGATCTTAGATAGTCTAGAAAATAATAGTTTATCAAGTTTACGATAGAAATATGTTCCAGAAAAAATGGTCTGCCTTTAATTTCATCACAAAAACAGTTACATTAGGGGAAAGGTTCAAACAGAGGGGACTGAGATTTTTTTTTTTTTTAAAGGATTTATTCTAGGGGCTGGCACTGTGGCCTAGCATGTAAAGCTACCACTTGCAGTGCCAGCATGCCATATGGGTGCCAGTTTGAGTCTGGACTGCTCCACTTCCAATCCAGCTCCTTGCTAATGTGCCTGGGAGGGCAGTGGAGAACAGCTCAAGTGCTTAGGCTCCTGTACCTCCGTGAGGGACTAGGAGGAAGCTCCCAGCTCCCAGCTGTTGCAGCCATTTAGAAAGTGAACCAGTAGATGGAAGCTCTCTCTGTCCCTTTCTTTCTCTCTCTCTCTCTCTCTCTCTCTCTCTCTCTCACTGTAGCTCTGGCTTTCAAATGAATAAATAAATGTTAAAAAAAATTTATTCCATTTATTTGAAAGGTGGAGTTATAGAGGAAGAGGAAGAGATAGAGATCTTCTATCCACTGGTTCACTCCCCAAACGACCGCAACCATAGGGGCTGAGCCAGGTGATTCATATGGGTCTCCTCCGTGGCTACAGGGACCCAAGCACTTGGGCCATCTTCTATTGCTTTCCCAGGTGCCTCAGCAGGGAGCTGGATCAGAAGTAGAGCAGACAAGGCTCAAACTGGCACTCACGTGGAATACAGGCATCACATTCCTGGCCTGTAACATCAGACTCCAGGAGCAGCCTCCCTCCCACTCCCCCAAGACGCATGACAACCAAAAATGTCTCCAGACATTGCCAATTTTCCACAGCAAGAATTACTGGACCAAGGTAAGAGAGAGCCAACCTTCCAGTGCTGGGTGCTATTGCCGATCTGTAACCTTAGTGCTGCTGACCTGGAAGGGGAGATAAGCCCTTCAGACACCTAAGTGGAACCTTTGGCAGCAGTTAATGGGGGCCAAGAACCTGGCCGCCTGGGTCCAACAGGGCACCCAAGGAGAAGGCGACACCTCTAACCACAGTGACAGGAAAACTCCAGAGAGGAAGTAGCACTTTAGTGAGGCTGGGTTATAATTACTGCACTAATAACAGTTAATCCCTTTCTTTCCCAGGGGTTATCTCACGTTAGCCCAATGATAAGAGCCCTGATTAAATAACCGCCCTGAAGTCCACCACGGATAAGTACAAAGCTGAATCCAGAACTCAACTCTGTCTGTAAGCCAGGGATGCCATCCACACTGAAGGCCTTGCCGTGGAGGCAGTCTGGTTCTAGACCCTAGGTATGGAAAACACAGGGATCAGTGTTGTGGTGCCAGGGATTAAGACAACACTTATGAAGCACACATTCTGGCTAATGCACTGGGAAGGCAGTGGGAGATAGCCCAAGTACTTTGGTCCCTGCCATCCACATAGGAGACCAGGATGGCCTGGCTCCTGGCATCATGATGCCCCAGTCTTGGCTGTCAGAGTCATTTGGGGAGTGAATAGGAGAATGGAAGCTCTTTCTGTCTCTTCACCTCTCTCTGTTACTCTGCCTTTCAATAAATCAATAAAGATTTTTTACAAAAAGAAAAAAAGGGGGCCGGTGTTATGGCGCAGTGGGCTAAGCCTCTGTCTGCGGTGCCGGCATCCCATATGGGCGCTGGTTCAAGTCCTAGCTGCTCCACTTCCAATCCAGCTCTCTGCTATGGCCTGGGAAAGCAGTAGAGGATGGCCCAAGTGCTTGGGCCCTTGTGCTCACATGGGAGGCCCAGGGGAAGCCCCTGGCTCCTGGCTTCGGATAGGTGCAGCTCCAGCTGTTGCGGCCAATTGGGGAGAGAACCGGCAGATGGAAGACCTCTCTCTATGCCTCTGTCTCTCTGTGACTCTGCCTTTCAAGTAAATAAATAAATCTGAAAGAAAGAAAGAAAGAAAGAAAGAAAGAAAGAAAGAAAGAAAGAAAGAAAGAAAAACAAAACACAACTCTGCCCCTGTTTTGGAGGCACTCAGAGCTCAGAGCCCAGCAGAGGGGACTTGCATGTACAGAAGCACTTCTGATGAGGTAAAGGACCACATCAGGCCCCTTAGGAATGAGTGGATCTTTGACAGCTGCAAATAAGGCCATGGTTCCCAACAGAGGCATGGATTCCCATCAGGAAACAGAAGCAGGCACAAAAGGGCAATGCCGGGTGTACTGAGAAAGCAGTCCAGTTTGACTGGAGGACAGGGAAGGAGTAGAGCATGGAACCAGACAGTGCAGAGGGCCTTGAACCTGATGCCACAGCCTCTGTGGAATGTCCCATGGTGACAGAAGCCACAGGTAGTTTTAAGTGTAACAGTCACAGCATCAAAGTGCGGGGCCTTAAAATCAATCTAGGCACAAAATAAGTTAGAGATGAGTATCCTAGAACCAAATGAAGGTGTTTAAGCAAAGAGCAGTTAAGTACTGGTGCCCCCTCGATAAAGTTCTATAAAGTTCAGCTACTGTCTCTAGGCTCCCTGGCTAATAATTAAAAAATAAAAAATTATGGGGTCAGTGTCGTGGTATGGTGAGTTAATTCACTGCCCAAGATGCCAGCATCCCATATGGGTGTCAGTACAAGTTCCGGCTGCTCCACCAATCTAGCTCCCTGCTAATGTAACTGGGAAATCAGTATAGGACAACCAAAGTACTTGGGCCCCTGCCACCCACAGGGGAGACCCAGATGGAATTGCAGGCTCCTGGCTTCAGCCTGGCCCAGCCCCAGCCTTTGTGGCCATTTGCGGATTGAACCAGTGGATAAAAGATCTCGATCTCTCTCTCTCTCCGTGTGTGTGTGTGTGTGTGTGTGTGTGTGTGTCACTTTCCCTTTCAATAAATAAATAAACCTTTTAAAAATTAAATAAATAAAAGATTTATTATTCAAAAGACAGAGTGACAGAGAGAGGGAGAGATAGAGAAAGAGGGTTCTTCTCCTCACTGGTTCACTCCCCAAACGCCCACAACCTCCAGGGCTGGGCTAGGCTGAAACCAGGAGCCAGGAGCTCCATCTGGCTGTCCTATGAGGGTGGCAGGGGCCCACGCACTTGAACAATCAAATGCCATCTTCCAGGATGCACTAGCAGAAAGCTGATTTGGAAGCAGAGTAGCTTGACTCAAATCAGTGCTCCCATATGGGAAGTGGGACGTAAGATGAATGCAGGATCAGTCTTCTGATCAGTGGCTTAACCAGATGTGCCACGATGCCCACCCCACCCCTGGATAATTCTAAACACTCAGGGCCAGCAGCTTTAATTAAGGGGTAGATCTCTTCTCTACCAATGTTTGCATAACCTGCACTCAAGTTTCAAAGCAGGGGTAAAAGTGATTATTGGCCTAGTACATTACACAATGTAGTCAGTATATTTTAACTTCAAGGTGCTTAGAAAACAATGAATTAACATTTGAAAATGTTTAATACCCAAGAATTAAAGCACTTTTTAAGCCAGAAAAAAAAAAAATAAGGCTACAGATCAAATGATCAAATGTCCCTTCCTTCCACTTCCAACCACGGCCAAACCTCTAGGCTTTACTTCATAGTTTTTACGCAACATCAATATTAGAAATATACAAGGTCAAACAGTTGATGACTTAACAACGTATTACGTCACAAGGCAACAGCTATGAGACCAGAAATACGGAAATGATACAAACACCCTACTTACACCCTACACCCCATCTTAACAACCTCCACCCAGGCAGAGGTGACCCTTGTCCTCTTCTCGCTTGGTTAAACTCTAACCAGGCTTCAAGGGGCTGCTTCTGCCTCCTCAGGCTTCTCTTCAGCTTGTGTAGGATACTTCCTGTCCACATTCTACATGTTAGCACTTGCGAACCTGTGATTTTGTTCTCAACGAGATTTGAAACTCCTTGAAGAATGATTCTTGTCACAAAAGCTTTGAGGTCAGGGCATGACATGTTTGCCAATAAAGCTAAAGTGATCTTAGGCTGTACTAAAGAAATGCAGTGTGGAATGGACATACCAGCGATGGCTCTACCCACAGTCCTGTCTACTTGGAGAACTCTCAACAATTCAGGGCTGAGGGACTCAAACTGGGATTATTACAGAACTGAGGACACTGGATGTGGAACAGAGGTGTCTTAGAGGAAATGTAAAGGCTGCCTTCAACACATTCAGGAGAACAGCCTTCCTCTGCCTTTCGTAAGCAGAGGGTAGAAGCAGAGCCAGCAAATGACAGAGGTCTAATGATTAGAACTACTTGTAGGGAAGAGCCCCATCAGAAGTCCAAGCAGCCTGGCAGGGTGGGAAGATGGAGTGGACCCCACCAACAGGAGATCTGCAAGCAACTTCTGCTTGGACAGCTCTGCTCTGCTTCCTCTGTTGTCCCCCACAGGACCAGCGCCACCATCAGTCTGTCAGGGATACTCGACACCTACTTCGCTGGACACTGCAAGTCATTAAGTGGAATGGACCAGAAAGAAGGGAAAGAATCTGGGTTCATCTTGCCCTCACCTCCACATTCCACCAGCAAGTCAGGTCAGCTCTGCTTTCCCAGTATACCCCACTCACAGCACTGCTTCCTACCACCACTGCCAAGTCTCCAGTCCACGCCAGCCTTGTCTCCAAACCTTTTTACCCATCTGCCTGCTTCAGTCCTGCCCTTGTCCTCTTCTCGCTTGGTTAAACTCTAACCAGGCTTCAAGGGGCTGCTCCTGCCTCCTCAGGCTTCTCTTCAGCTTGTGTAGGACACTTCCTGTCCACATTCTACATCCATGTTTAAAAACAGTCCAACCAGACTGTCTGTAAAATCAAGAATACCTTCTGGGGTAGCAGTTAAGACACCCACGTCCCATACGGGAGTTCTAGGTTCAACATCCAGGCCCAGCTCCCAACTCTAGTTTCCTGTCAGTGCAGACCTGGGGAGGTAGCAGCAATGGCTCAAGCAGCTGGGTTCCTGCCACCCCGTGGGAGACGTGGATGGAGTTCCTGGCTCTGGCTTCCACCTGCCACAGCCATTATGAGCATTTAGGGAATGAACCAGCCAGTAGATCAGAGTTCTCGCTCTGTGTGCGTCTTAAATAAGTAAATTTAAAGGACTGGTGTTTTGTCATAGCAGGTTAAACTGCTGTCTGGGAAGCCAGCATCCCTGACGGGAGCTGGTCCAGCTCCCTCCTAATGGTCTGGGAAAGCAGAAGATGGTCCAAGTGCTTGGGCTGCTGACACCCACGTGGGAGACTGGGAAGGCGCTCTTGGCTTTGGTCTGGCCCAGCTCTGGCCATTGCATGCAGCCATTTGGGGGAATGAACCTGCGGATGGAAGATTCTCTCCCTCTCCCTCTCTCCTTCTCTGTGTGTGTGTAACTCTGCCTTTCAAATAAATAAAAATAAATCTTAAAACACTGTGGCTAGCAGGTAAAGCCACCACCGCCTGTAGTGCTGGCGTCCCTTATGGACGCTGGTTCAAGTCCCAGCTGCTCCTCTTCCAATCCAGCTCTCTGATATGGCCTAGGAAAGCAGAAGATGGCCCAAGTCCTTGGGTTCCTGCACCCGTGTGGAAAGACCCAAAGGAAGCTCCTGTTTCCTGGTTTGGGATCGACCCAGCTCCGGCCATTGCAGCCATCTGGAAAGTGAACCAGCAGATGGACTATCTCTCTCTCCCTCTCTTTGCCTCTGACTCTGTAATTCTGCCTTTCAAATAAATTAATGCAGCTTTTAAAAAATTTGTGGAAAATGCATATATACACACATGTCTATATAAGTATGTGTATGTGTATATACATATATATATGTATTTATGTGTAATACATATCCCTGTGTGAACCGCAATGACATTCCTACACTTAGTGTAAAACAAACTCCTTATCACCCACGGGAGCTCCAGCCCCTGCCTGCCCCGTGGGCATCATCTTCCACGGTCTCCCGCCGGCGCCGTCAGTCCACGCTGGCACTATCTGTCCGTCAGTTCACTACCCTGGCTCCCACCTCTGGGCCTTGGCACTCGCCGCCACCTCCACCTGACGTGCCTTCCTCCCAGGTCTACCTATGGTTGGTTTCCTCACTACCAGCCTGAGCGCAAACATTCTCTCCAGAGAAGACCCTGCCTGTCCACCTGCCGCTCTCACTCGAGCTACTTCGTTACTCTGGATCTCCCTCTATGCCTCCAAAACGTGGGTACCCCGAGAGCGCACGCATCCCTCCCTCCTGGCTGTTCCCATGGCTCGGGAACGACTTCCGCATTGGTGCCCCGAATCCTGGACCTGTTTTTTCACAGGCCCTGCCGACCAATCCTGCTCGCACCTTCTTCCAGAGGCTCCAGGCCCGTGCCATAGCTGACCAGATCCTCATCGCTGTCACTGCCCAGCGCCGCCATCCTGCTTCCTTCCGGGCTCCGCCCCCTCGCTACGGCGGCCTCGGCGGGCCAAACGCCTCTCGCTCTTTCTCCTCCGCGAACCGTCGAGACTCGCTAAGACTAAGTGGGCAGATCTAGGCAGATGTCCTAGGTCTGCGACGTGCGTGCAAGTCGTGAGGAGACCCCTGGGAGAAGCTGAAACCCACACAACTGCGCGGCCATGAGGCAGTTCGTCCCCTGACAGCGGCCCAGCCCCAGCCGGGTCCTGCGCCCTAGCCCCACTTTTCCCTCCATCGCACCCCAACGCCGGCCACCAGCGCGGGAAAGCGCCTGGACTCCTGGATGTATGCGCTCGCCGCGCCATGGCTTCGCCGGTGGCCGCAGACGGGAGAAGGCTGCACTGCAAAGTGCGGACGGGAGCGGGGACATGCACAAGCTCCCTGTGGAGGGCTCCTTGGGCTGGCAGAAGTGGAACCCGCGTCCAGACCTCTGCAAGGAGCCGCGAGCCGGTGGTGAAGAGGACACGAGGATTGAAGAGGGAGAAAGCCAACTGCAAAGAGAAAGAAGGGAAACGGGGAGCAGCGCTGGGGCCGGGGAGGGGTCCCGTGCTGCACCTGAAGAGCACCCGTCGAAAGGGGCGTTGTGGCGCTACCCCCAAAAACCCTTTTAAGAAACGGAACAGCTGTTAGGGGCTGAGGCTGGCAAGGTGTAGGAAGGCCCCACCGCCACCCCCTCGGCGTCCTCAATCGGGTCGGGCGGCTCCAGGCTGTCCCGCGTCCGGGGCCTTGCACACGCAGTTCCTGCTGCGTGGACGCCCTTCCCACAGGTCTCTGCTCAGACGTTGCTTTCCCTGACCATTTCAGAAGCAGCCCCTACTCCCCCTTGCCCGTGTCATTCTCTAACAGACACTTGAATTTGCTGATTTTTTTTTACACATGTCTGTCTCTGCCCTTTGCAATGTAAGCTGTGTGAGGTCAGGAATGGGGGGGGGGCACATTTTGTTTTTGTTTTCTTGGCTGTGGCCTCAGTACTTGGCACATAAGTGGCAGCTTCAAGAAGTTCATGGCAAATGGAATTAAAAGACAAGTTTATTTTGAAGCAAAAACAAAAACTTGAAGTGCATGCATATTAGGAGTCTCAAAAAGTTCATCAAAAACACGTATCATGTAAAAACTATGCCTGGATTTCAAAATTTTTGCACCGAAATAAGCTCCTCTTTTGATTCCAGTTTTCCATGAATTTTTGAAGTAGCCTCACTTAAGCACTCAATAAGTGTTGCTGAAAGATTGAATGTCTAGTTAAGTCGTGGTACAGGACTGAAACACTTTGTGGGGGGGGGGGGGATGTGTGGGTTTGGCCTTAGCAGTTAACAGGCTGCTTGGGGTGCCTTAATTCTCCCTCCCCCCCCCTTTCTAAAGATTTATTTATTTATTTATTTGAAAGGCGGAGTTACAGAGGCAGAGAGAGAGAGAGAGAGAGAGAGAGAGAGAGAGAGAGGTCTTCTATCCGCTGGTTCACTCCCCAGTTGGCCGCCACAGCCGGAGCTGCGCCGATCCGAAGCCAGGAGCCAGGAGCTTCTTCCAGGTCTCTCACACAGCTGAAGGGCCCGAGGACTTGGGCCTTCTTCTTACTGCTTTCCCAGGCCATAGCAGAGAGCTGGATCGGAAGTGGAGCAGCCAGCTTCACCTGCTATGCCATAGTGCTGGCCCCGCATTTTATTGCTTGGATTTGAGTCCTGACTGGGCTCCTGAGTTCAGATTCCTGCAAATGTACAACCTGGGAGGCAGCAGGTGATGGACACAGTACGTGTGTTCCTGCTACTTCAGATGGACTTCCAGGCTCCCAGCTTCAGCCTGGCCCAGCCCCAGCCATTGCAGGTATTAGGAATAGACCAGCAGCAGATGGAAGATGGACTGCATCCTATACTAAAATACCAGTTTGTGTCCTGGCTGCTCTGCTTTGGATCCAGTTTTCTGCTAATGCATCCTGGGACACAGCAGATGATAGCTCAGGTGGCCCCTGCCATCTACATGGTAGATTTTGATAGTTTTGGGTTCCTGACTTCTGCTCAGCACAGCACAGCCCTGGCTGTTGCACCTATCTGGGGAGTAAGCCAGTGGATGGAAGATTCCCCCTGTATCTCTTTTTCTGTCTCTTTCTCCAACTTGCTCTGCCTTACGAGTAGATATAAATAAAAATAAGTAAATAAACATTAGAACATGACCCGGATATTGTTTGCAAGTCTCCCACGGAGAAGTGGACTCTATACCCTTTCCCTTTGAATCTGGGTTCTGCATCTCCTGGACCAAAAGAATACATTGGAAGTGACAATTTTTAAGAAGCCAACAGCTTTAACTTTGTTTCTTTGAATGCTTGCTCTGAACACCAACATCCGTGGTGTGAGGAAGCCCAGACCATCACCAGCTGAGGTCCTGCCTAACCATGAGCATAACAATTGCCAGCTAGGTGAGTGGGGGCAGCTAGCTGGTTTGCAGCTGCCTGGGAGACCCCAAGCAAGAATCTCTGAGTTCAGCCACCTCCCAGAATCATGAGAGATAACAAATAAAATGATTCTTCTGGTTCTAAGCCATTATGATGTGGGGTAGTTTGTTTATAGCAATAGGTACCTGGCACAACCTACCAGCATTGAAAAAATGTCGCTGCTGTTGGGGTGGGCATTTAGCTTAGTGGTTAAGAGTTCAGTGTCCCACATCAGAGTACCTGGGTTTGATAAACACTGGCTTCTAACTGCAGCGTCCTGCTGTTGCAGACCCTAGGAAGCAGTAGTGTTGGCCCAAGTAATTCCTGTCATTCACATGGGAGACTTGGATAGCATACAGCCTCTAGCTTCTCTATCTGGCTGTTTCAGGCATTTGGGGATGAATCAGTGAATGGGAGTGCCCTCATTCATTCATTCTCTCTCTCTCTCTCTAGCTCTCAACTTTAAAAAAATGCTGATGAGAAATGATCTCCAATATATATTGATAGATAAGCAAAGCAGAGTGAGACAGAATACCCACAATGCTAACATTTGTGTTGAGAGAAAACACAAGTAGGGCCAGCATTGTGGTGTACCCGGTAAAGCCACCACCTGCAAGGCCAGCATCCCCTATGGTCACCAGTCTGAATCCCAGCTGCTCCACTTCTGATCCAGCTCCCTACTAATGTGCTTGCAAAAGCAGCAGAAAATGGCCCAACTGCTTGGGTCCCTGTACCCACATGGGAGACCTGGATGAAGCTCCTGGTTTTGGTCAGGACTTGGCAGGCTATTGCGGCCATTTGGGGAGTAAACCTGTGGATGGAAGATTTCTCTCTCTGTCTTTTTGTCTCTCTCCATCTCTGACTTTTAAGTAAATCTTAAAAAGGGGGGGGGGGGTCATCTGGGTAGGAGGAATACATGGATCTAGAAGTGCACATGCTCTGTAGTTGAACTTTTGTATTTAGCTACATTTATGTTAGTCATTCCACAAAGCATTTTTATGTTAATGGCTTAGTTTTCATATTAAAAAAAAAAGATTTACTTACTTGAAAGGCAGAGTTACAAAGAGACAGAGAAGGAAAGACAGAGATCTTCCATCCACTGGTTCACTCCCCAAATAGCTGCAATGACTGGGTGTTGGGCCAAGCCAAAGCCGGGAGCCAGGAGCTTCTTTTGGATCTCCCACATAAGTATAGAGACATAAGGACCCGGGCCATCCTCTGCTGCTTTCCCAGGCACATTAGCAGGGAGCTGGATAGGAAGTAGAGCAGCCAGGACACGAACCCGGAGCCCATATGGGATACCAGTACTACAGGTGGAGGCTTAACCTACTACATCACAGCGCGGGCCTCTGCATTTTACTTTGAAGAACTGGGTCCCTAGACAGCCAAGTGCTGGACTTAACCCAGATGGTAAAATGAGACTTGATAGAAGAGTTGCTTGAAGTGGAGATTCCAGTCTATCACCTGTCTCAATATTCCCACCCTAGCCCTTCTCTTAGCAGTACGGGGCCTCACTGCAATGTTCTCATTGCCCAGCCCATCAATGGGGTTGACCAGCAGGAGGCTGACTGAGGCTCTTGACATTATTTCCTGGTGACAATGGGATCAGAGATAAGAGGTCAGACCTGTGGGTCCCTTACAGTGAGGCATGAGACCATGTAAAGATACATGCTGCTGTGTAGTTGCCAGGAGTGGTGCCCCACGGAGACTCACAGAGGCACAGGTGATCCACTTAGGGTGGACGGTGTGACTCATACACCATCTTCCTTTTCTTCTTCTTCTTCCCTTTTAACAAAATCAGAAGCTGCAGAAAAGCAATGATGTCTGGATAGATTAAATAACTCGCTTTCGTTTCCATTGTATTCTGGGTTTCTCCCTATAGGACAAAGTACCTCGGTTTTTCCCCTTACAGTTTATGACATGATTGCCCTTCAAAATGTGTTTAAAGGGCTGGCATTATGGCGCAGCAGGTTAAGCTGCCGCCTGCAATGCTGGCATCCCACCCATATGAGCACTGGTTTGTGCCTCAGCTGCTCCACTTCTGATCCCAGCTCCCTGCTAACGCACCTGGGAAAGTAGTAGAAGATGGCCCAAGTGTTTGAGCCCCTGCCATCCAACCCATGTGGGAGACCCCGATGAAGCTCCTGGCTCCTGGCTTCGGTCTGGTCGAGCCTGGGCAGTTGCAGCTATTTGGGGACTGAACCAGCAGGTGGAGGAAGCTCTCTCTCTATAACTCTGCCTTTCAAATACATAATAAATTTTTAAAATGTATTTAAATAAGATGATTAATTTTAAAGAACAATGTCAACAATACTATAAGTGAAAATGTATATATGATAAATTGCAAAGGCAATTTGAGCTTCAGGTAGTAGAAAGAGATGGCGAAAATCCAAACGTGATGGGGATTGACTGGAGTCGGTGAGCCTGGGCCACTCCTCTCCTCTCAACCTTGGTCTTCCCAAACTGCCAATGAAGATGACCTCATCCTTTTATTTGCAGCTAGAGACAGTGAGAATAAACTCCCGACAATGTAGAGGTTCTCTTATTGTTAAGTTTATTCGTATTCCAAATGTAGTCACAGTGACCCACTACCCTGGCATCATCGAAAATGG